CTAATCAAATGTTTTAATGTTCCTACCATGTACCTCATACCACATTGTTGACTCGCTAGTCTCTCTAGATAATTCAAATCTTTGATATTTTATCGACTTCTGTTGCTATTCTGTGCATCACATCTATTATTTAATGTCCTACATTATATGTATTTTCTTGTGCCTTTGTCACGGATAAAAATCCGTCGAGAATGCATGAAATTTTCAACTGGTATCAATTATCTTCCATTTTCAGTGCCTAATTTTCTGATGTAGTTTTAATCTGTGCACAAGTACAACCCTCAATTATGCATTTCTATCGTAGTATATTTGAAATGTGCATTCGTTTATTTGAAAATATGAATATCTGTGATGCAATTTTTGGACACATTCTTTTTTATTTCGAAATGTGTATTCATGTGTCTATGAATGTGTGTTACACTAGAAATAAGTTTTTTTTTCCAATGAGTATAATATCCTCTTTAGTTTGTTGTGCTTTACTTAAGTGATTGTTAGCTGTTTGTTCATCGTTTATCATTGCGTAGTTTGATTATTCGTCAATTTGTCTCGCTTTTTATTCAGTCAATTTGTTTGTTTGTTTGTTTGATTCATCTATCTTCATAATGACAACAGTGACATGTTTGTGTATATATTTGTTTTGTAATTTATATTATTGATCGATCCCTAATATGCTGTATCAAATTTATATATTTGTTACATCACATAGTTGATATTGTTGAAATAACTCGTCACAGTTCACAGTGGTATAAATTATAAATGCTAATCAAAGCTGAACATTAAATGAATGTTTTATATTTGTACACAAGGGCGGGTTGACTAAATTTAACATCTTCAGTTTTATTTATCACTTATTTCTCTGCTTGACTTTTGAAACATTTTTCTTTCATTATATATCACCAGAACTGTGAATTGAGAGGAGACCACCTTGTACTTTATACTTGAATCTTTTGCATCACATTACACTCGTATGCTTAAAACAGCTTTCTTCTATGATAAACACTTTTCTGCATAAATGAAACTTGGCTTGCTTGATCACTGTGTTTGTATTTACTTGACGTTTGCTTGTGCTAATGTCTTTCCACACTGTGTAATTTGTTTTTTTGCGCTGTCCATGCTGATGTCGAATTTGTAAATATTGTTTACAACTGACTGGTCGGTCCACTCCTGGTGTCGTATTTTTTTGTTTTTTGGACTTATTCTTTTTTAAACATTTCTGTTAAATAACTATCAAATTAAAATTTAGCCGTTCTGATCAATAATATTTGTTGTCGATCGGGATAACTAATATTATCAATAGAGTTTTAATTTGTTCATCATTGCATTGCTCAATGGCATGACCTATGAAAGTAGACGTGCGTAGGCTGAAGGATTTGAATATAAGAATTATGAGGCAGCTACTCATACAGTGTTAATGTTACAAGTAGGGTACTTAGGCTTGATGACATTTCGATCGATAATTCTATCAGTCTTCATCAAGTGAGGTAGGACATATGTTTTGTATAACATACTATCACAAACCTTAATGCACAATACCGGCTGCTATATAAGTTGGATGAAAGCTATAAGGCGGGCAAACCAAGACATGGCATCATTTCATGAAAGCATCAACTGTCTCGATATTCTTCCATGAGCACCTTTACATTCTTTTTGGACCCACTCCTCTCTGTTTAGTTTTATTATTTGTATTACAATTACTTTGAAGCATTGGTTTTTCATATTGTTAGTTTTATCTCATTGTTATTGAACAGATATGTCAACCTTGGGTAACATATATTCGTACCAGATTTCACATGAAGTATAACTGATTGACATTTCCTCCTCCCTTTCTGATGAGTAGAAGTAGGAAACAGTATTGGATGTTCATCTTGACGAGTTGTCTTATCTGATGTCAACACAACAAAAAGAAGTCATCTGTTGTTATCGTTATGTTCTGCTCAAACAGTGTGTCGTTTAAACCTACATCTAAAATCCTCTCACTAATTAGAAATGCAAAAATTGTTTCATGACGAAAAATATATGCATAACCTCTGTTTGTTTAAATTTTTTCCTAATTTTAACAACCCAGAATTATGAATCATTAGAAAACGAAACAACAGCGTCCGTCCCGCGCTTATCGTATTGTAAACCAAATGATTTTATCAGTGTGCTTGATATCGTACTTAGGTTGTCAACTATATTGATTGTACTTTGTGTAGTGAAGTGACAGTTTGTAAATAAATAAATAAATTCTAATACGAATTCGAAAGCAATTAGTCGATATTATCGCTTGTGTATATTAAACAAATAAGGTATAATCAGAAATAAATCAAACATGTTGTTCACAAAAAATGATTTTCTTCTGTATAGATGTTAATTGTTGACACAGTGTAATTCCATTCGCGCATACGATCGAATCTGTATATTTTTGATTATCTGTCTTCTTATTTTGCAAAATTTTGGTTTGTTATCTGTATGAACATTTAACATCATTAAAATCCTGTTAACCTGACATTCACTAAAAAAAGTACACAGACAAGTATGCACACTAGTAAACATTGATTTGCTATTATTAATGTAGTATGCAAACAGTCCAATTACACTTTTAGTTGTTTTCTTACTCTCAAAATAGCAGTTGATATCGTTGTTGTCGATTGTAACGACAGTGACGAAGTTTTTAGTGTCATTCTTATTTCATATTGATATTCAACGGTGTGATCATTAAGAAAACGAAGAAACCTAATCCTATATTGATGTTATCTATTTGTAAAGAAATGTATACGTTTTTCTATTGTAAATCACTCGTTTTATATCCCATTTTATTGATTTTAACGCTGCTCTAGCATTTACAAACTGAATGCTGATCCATGTTATTTTTGTTTTCATTCTTTATTTTTAACGGTCTGCATATTCATTCTAAGCTGTCCCCTTTTTTTGAGAAAAAATGAAAGAAATTTCTTAGCTTTGAAAGCTCACAAACGTCTCATATAAAATAAGAAGTATACTGTAATTAGTTTTCATTGTAGTGAAAAGACAATTTCTCTGGCAGATCAATTATTATAGTAGATATTTTATTTTTATTGTCAATGCACATCATAGCATACGTGGTGTTGTTTGTTTTTTTTTTTAAAAAAATGAATTCAATTCTTATCCAAGAAAAAAACAACGAACAAAATTGTCTTTTGTCGAGGATTTTATCTTTTAAAATGTTATAACCGTAAGGTAGCAAATTTAATGAACATGTTTTTGTATGCTAACTGACACTGTAGTATAAAATAACTGGAATTCATAATGTATAGTAGTTTGTAATAATGAATAAAATAAAACATATTAATCAATTAATCTTCAGACTACCCATTAACCTATACAGACTAGGTTGGGTGAAATTAAAGGTCAGTTTACACAATTATGACATAAAGGATTTTTCAGTGTGGTCTTATATATATATATATATATATACCATAAACATAATTACATAATTTATGGAAATGAAATAATCGGAAGAAAAAAGCTATTCTCTTTGCTGTGATACTAGCCATTTGTTATATACCGATGATAAATCTATATTATTTGTTAACATATACAAATTCATTGTCCGTGAAATTATCGATTTCATTTCTTGTTGGTTATGCCTTAGTTAGTCTTAGTACAAACCTGATGAATTTTTTAGTATCACTCGATTAACCGATTGCGGTTTTGTATACTCGCCTTTGAATGACATTGTAAAAGTCAAAGATTTACCAGTTGCACGAACCGAAGTTGATCGGCGTTCGAACCTGTTACAAGGTGATTGAGAGTTGACCACTTTAATCATTAAACCACTGCACCACATAGAATAATCTCGTCTTTGAAAAGCATGTACAAAAAACCAATATCTCTTTGTTTTAATTTTATCATTTTTTTATTCACCAAATTTGTTATGTTGATTAAAAGCACACAACAATAACAACAACTACTACTATTCGAATCCGGTTGGTTAGGCGAAAAATTGAATTTTGTAAACATTGTATGTTTTAGTTTTCCCTATTTCTGTATGTAATGGCGCTAGGTCGTACATGAATAATATTAAATAAATTTCGGTTAAAGACATAGTCAAAAGAGATTTCCTGTCAATTGGGAAAAAAGAACACTACAACAAAACCACCTCTGAACCACATTTGTTGGCATTTCAATATTTATGCATGATAAGAAATTAGATTGTCTTATAGATATTACATGTATAGGAGTGAAGTTGTTTATTTACCTCCTCTTTTCATTGTATCCTATTAAATATTCTCAAAAATTAAATTTTTTTTCTCCATATTACAATAGTTTCTAGTATGAGAGATGTAAATTGTCAGGAATATATTGGAAATGATATACATTCAATCATGAAATCTTTCATCAATATTTACTATGTAGTCAATCATTCTTCATATTGTTTACTTAGTTTGTTCATATTTAAAAATTTTATTGTCTTCCTAAGTTTTCATAGATTAAACGTTAACTTTGTATTAATTTCCATTGAACATATGTTCTGAAGTTATTTAAATCATTATATTAGCCTGTAAACAACTGTCGCCTTGCATTATGATTTGAAGAATAACCTAAATTACTGATATATATATATATATATATATATATATATATATATATACGTATATTTCTGAAAGAATACTATTATTGTATCATTTATGCTATAATGAATATTACATGCGATTGTTTATTAAAAATGCTTACTGTGTTTATAAAACAGACGATTTTTCCTTTACAACCAATTTTATTTTAATCAAGTAAAATTCTTCATAAATTTTCTTTGGAATATAATTCGGCGTATGGATCGATGACACTACTTAATTTTGTGATTCAAATTAGATTCAATGGAAATCTTCATATGAACTAGAATCGTTTAGACTTTCATCACTGAACTACCACCACTGATACATATGATTGTTCGAAAAAAAAAAATCGTTTCAAACATTATGTCATCAAATAATTATGCAGTTGATTTTAATTAGAATTTGCTTATTTTTTGTTTATTTCAGTTAAATTGTTGGAGGTTATTGAATCTGAAAAACATTTATATTTGGTCATGGAATATGCTAGTGGAGGTGAGTTGTTTAATAGAAATTTCAGTTACTATTGTTTTTTTTTAACAAGATTGCATGAGTTCATGTTGCAAACAGCATTAGAATGGGTATTACATCGTTTCTATTCTTGCAATGAACACTATTTTTCATTTCATACTTTTTATAACCTATCCAATATGTTCACAAAATAATTCTTTTGTATTGAAACTATTTTTTGGACAAATAATCATCCGAATAAAGATTCGAGTACCATTAGCAAAATAAATATATATCTATTCGTTACTAATGCCAGAGCTTGATTGTTTCTACAATATTTATTGTGTGTTTGAAACAAAATATTTTCATGCATTACTTTTTTTTTATCTCATTTTATTATTCCGTACTTTTTTGTAAAAAGTAATTTATGCATTTATTTTGAACTGAATTCCTTCTATGCGCAACTTGTAGTTTTTTTTTTTAATTTCTGCATACTTTTCAGACATTCACATTCATTTACATGGTTGTTTAATTTGGAAATACTTCAGTGTTTTTTTTTTTTAATCTTTGAACATTTATTTTACAAATTATTATTTTGTATTCACTTGGTCTTATTCTCTATTATTTTAAACTAAAGTTTGTGTACATCAATTCACTACATTTTACTAGTTTTTTCTTTTAAAAGTACTGTGATCATTCGAGAATTTCGAGCTTTATTTTCTAAACATGAATATTGAAAATATCAACTCATTCTTAAACAAACGTTTATTTACATTTTAAAGTGAACACTTTTTTTCATTGGATTTGATGGCGTTGGTAAATTTATGCTACATACTGCATAGTTTTTTTTGTTTTGTTACCTGTGTCATTCACCATGTCTATCACACTTTTATTAACTATTGATTGGATGAATGGTCAATCATCTTCAAAACAATAAAGGGAATTAAATGTACCAGTCAATGAAAGTTTTACTATGTCTAATAGTGTATTATAACATTCACGAGATCTTAACAATACAGTTTGTGAAGATAACTGAAACAACTAATGTTGTGGTAAAACTAGTTAGTCTATAGAAGAGTGACAAGCAGAGACGATCGAAGTGTTTGATTGTTGTAAACTTAAATCTATCGTTATATCTACACTCATAATTTCTTTTTTTTCTAACAAGTTTCTTACTTCATTCAATTCTTCACTTTGTTATTTCAAAATCTAATTGATACCTGCTTTTTTATAAAACAATCCTTTCTTTGTATGTCCATTACGAACTAACTAGACGTACACTGTTGATAGTTAATTATTCGGGAATATATATGTTTTTGGTCTTTACCACACAGTCGCCCCAACATTGAACATTTCGAATAAAAGTATTATTCAAAAAATGGTAAGACCAGATCTAAGGTTCACTGAATAGACATTATCTCGACAAATCGCTCATAATCTTTCTTAATACTTACTTAGATATCATGCTTTATAATCGTATTTCTTCACATCAAATCTTAATAGACATTATTATTTAATGCTAATATGCTTAGCTAATTGTAGAAGCGTCTTCTTGCTAGTAAATGGGTCGTATGCTCTAACTCGTTTTTAGAGCCTTAGAAGTTATTATAACCTTTTAAAAGTCATGTGATTGGTGAATTGCGTCAATTAAATTAAACCCTAGTTCTTAGCTTCCAATCTAATGCAAAAATATTTGACTTTTTCAGTAAATCTATATGTTTTCATAAATTTAGTTCTGAATTAAGAGTTAATTGAAGATTTGATAACCGACCATCTGTTTCTGAATGCTTTTCGAACAATACAAACAAGTAATATACTCATCACTTTCTAATTTTTTATCGGTTCATTTATTGATGTATGATTTCATGTCGAATCCCAATGTGACTTTTCTCAGTGTTTGAAATGGATTCAGTACCGGCTTTATCTAGTACTGAAGTCTCAAATAAGATGGAGATTATAAGCAGACTTGAGTAGTTACTGGCACTAGATTCCAGGACGCGTGTTTCATCCTGCTTGGGACTCGTCAGCCTAATATTCCTGCATCTCAGAGTTGATGTTTCACTCTACTACTCGAACCCAGTACCGTTCCACTGCTAGCCACTATCCATCTCTGTTACTAAAGCCTAGAACATGATATGCAATCCTCGCAAGATGCACATATATTTAAGACTCTAATCAATTGCAGTCCTAAACGTCAATAGGAAGATATAAATAACCAATACAAAATAATGAACGTTCTTTACTGTATCTCATCATTAGTTTTAACAAAAAATAATATAATAAGTATCTTTTTTTCTCAAACATTATTATTGCTTCAAATGTTACATGCAATACTGACTCATCTGGAAAAAGTCATCGGATAAACTTTGCATTTGTTAAATCTGTCCTAACTGTAATCAATTGCAATGATACATATTTTAAGTTATGAAGACAATTATCCTCTATATTTGGTCATAAAGGTGACCGAACTAGTTAACTACATCTTTATTAAGCATGATGCTAAATGTTTCGTCGTTAAATATCAAATATTTAAACATTTCTTATTAATGTTGTCTCCACTTAGTTATACATTTATATGTATGTGTATACCGAAACTCCATCTATCTATTATTCATAAAAATAACAGCAGTCATTATTTTTGTTAGTACTACGCACTACCATTCAATCAATTATGAATCCTCAACGAGTTATTTCTTACTGCTATTAAATTTCTCTCCTTTGTTTTCATGTACACGAATGTACGTGTGTATCGTGTATGCTAGTATTTACATTTGCCCAAACATTCGATTGTCTTTTATGAATTTGCAAAACTATTTTGAAGTTGCTTATTTTATTTCGTTGTTTATATATATGGCATAGTTTGCGTTCGATAGTTTAACTTTTTATCATCTTATTCAGTTTTGTGTTCCGGTTTCTTCCTAGTTCCTATTAAAATTCACTACATATAACAATATGTACACTTATGTTTGTATGTCAATTTGTTCATTGCGATACGATACACATTATTGGTAATTTGGATCAAAACTGATATGATTACGTCGAATAAACAAAAAAAGAATAACATGAATTCATTTTGTGCATTTTCCTCAGCTGTTTACAATCCAACCCCATAGTATTAATCATCAAAATGGAACAAATGTACATCATTCAGAAGAAACAGGTATTTGTAAACAGTTGTCTACGCAAGATCCCGAGGATCCTTTGGTCAGACACCATCAGCAACAACCTACTGTGGGAAAGAACAAACCATATTCAAACTGAGGAAGAAATCAAGAATAAGAGATAGAAGTGGATAAGATACACATTGAGGAAAGCACCTAACTGTGCCATCATTTGTAATCCTTAAGGCCAATGAAAAATAAGAAGACCAAAAAAAGCATTGCTCTGAGAACCGGAGACAGACATGAAAAGAATACACAACAATTAAACCGAACTAGGAAGGGAGGCTCAGGACAGAGTAGGTTATAAAATACTAGTCGGCCGCCTATGCTCTATTGGGGCTAACAGGCGTATGTAAGTAAATAAGTAATTATATGACATGGGGTTGAAATACTAAAATAGTCAAAAAGCAATTAACCCAACTGCTGTTAGTTGATCTTTTCAATATTAACACATCAATTCACTTTATGGAACCATATCTTTCGAGTAAAATAGTGTCGAATATTCTTGACAATTTTTTCAAGGTTGTAGTGTTGTGGATTTTAAAGGATTAGCTGATTGAAACGGAATACAAATATGTTCTCGTTGTGAATCCCTATTTTTGCAGTTTTAAATCTGTACGTATTAGATCCTTACTGTCTAGTTGAAACTTGCTATCAGTTCATGGAGTCATTGACTGTTAGACTAAATCATTTGAAAAATACTAGGTCGTAGTTAGGACTCGCTGTCAGTTTCTCAGATTTATTCATTCTTTATCTCCTCGTAAATCTTGTATTTCTAACTTATTTTGTATCTTCTGTTTTATTGGTCCATTTTTTCCGTTGGATCATATTCTCTTATCCTTTTTTGGTGCTACTTATACTTCTGTTATTTTGTATTCATATTGATAAATTCATCTCTTTGTGCTGATGTTGCGTAGAAAATCAAACTGATACATTTATTGAGCATTTTTGTTGCCACTAGCAGAATTCTATGTTGTTTTACCTCGAATTTAAGAAACGTTCTGTCACAATGGCATCGTTGTTCAAGGCGTTAATTGTTCTTAGGTAGCAATTTTTCTGCTGCTGGTGCAGATCAATATAGTTGATAGTATGTCTTTGTTGTCTTAACTTTCGGTTTCGTCACTTTTGACTCAATTTGGTAGACTTGTCAGTTGTAAGTATTCTAGTTTGGTTGTCTTTTAATCATAGATAAACGTGAGTAATGCCTTTATGTCAGTTGAATTTAGAAAACATACTCATGTTCTCAGCTTTCCTAAGTTAATGCTGTCTAGCCAATGTATATTTCAGCTATTCAACTTTTACCGATACTCGTGCTGAAAATTTGTATCACCCAACATTTAGAAGTGGAAAACGGTAACTTGATGTGTTAGTGACCGTTGATTTCGGTAGTTCATTTTCTACTTTATCCAACTGTGGAAGCTGTGAATCATAAGAGTAACGCTCAACACTCACGCTTACATTCACGTTTCAAATGTAATTTCAACATAGTATCATAGTATTAAGTTTTGTTTTCGAAAAAAAAAACAAGTTTCAACATGTTACATAGTAAGTACAGCTTTATTTATATCTCTCTGTAATAACCTTCATCCATGTTTATTATCCATTAAATATGTCATATATAAATCAGCTAGTTAGAGCTTCTAAAGTGTACATCAACTAACACAATGATAGGATGATCTTCGATAAACTTTAGTCAGTTAGACATATGTTTTTTAAGTTTTAAAAATGTCTGCTGTTTGATATTTTTAGTTCAGATAATGTAACATGTCTCTTGTACAATTTATCATTAATTAAATGAATTTTTGTTCTGTTTTCTTCATGTCATCATATTTTTCCGATTAAAATGTTTGTGTACGCAGAAATGAAGTTTTTGTACTTCTCTAAACCTTGTTATATACTCTTCAGTAGTTTGATTGTCTATATATTCTTGGACTAAAGGGAAAAGTTTCACCTATGATATATCATGCTGGCGTTGCTGATCTATCAACAGAAAACAATTATTTCATCCTGTTTCAACTTCTTCAGTTGGATTTAATGAGGACACTTTTATTCTCCATCAAATTGAAATATTGAATTTAGATTCTAATCAAGTTTAATGAGATGTCTTGTGCTAGAGATATCCGTTCGATAGATTTGAGCTTGCTCATGGACATATTGATCTAAACTATATAATAGTATTTTTTTCGTCTTATTTATAGATATAATTATTCTGCTTGTAATTATTTCCAGCATTCAGAAGCCTAATTTTGATAGACTTTTAATTAGGAATGATTGTTTATTTCACACTGTAAAATCTTTTTTGGGGAGGTTTTTTTTTGCTGACGTAAACATTCTAATGAATGGGGAAAAATCCAATGCGTGGTATGGTAAGCAATACTCATGTATCAATTCATTTGGTTGTAAAAAAAGTCAATTAGTCAAATTTACTGTTTGTTTAGCATAATTGGTAGATTTGTATAACAAGTGACAATGCTCTAGAACTCATAAAATCCTGTATCTAGTTTTCAGATAATTTGAAATCAAATGATCTGGGTTCATCTATCACTGATTTGTTCGAAAATAGTTAAATTTAGAATTGAAATTACTATCCAAGATGATGATATGTTCACTGTGAACTAAAAATACACAAAGTTTTTACTAATCACATTTAAATTATTCTAAAATTTCATTGGTTCATGTCATTTCGCGGTGTTTTGTAACTGTTCGATCAATTCCGATAAAGTAATCTGCATTCACAATCCCGATGAATAAGTCATATGGGTTATACGTGAGCCATTATTAGCTACCTGCTATTATGTTACCGTGGATTAGTTCTTGATTCGAGAACTCAATGAGGTAGGCACTGACATCGAGATTATGGATTGGTTAGGCAATATCGTATACTACACACAAAATAAACTTTGACTACTGTCTGTCTTTGACTTTTGGCTCTTGGTCAATTTAGAAGTTAGGTAAGCGAATATTACTTCATTTTACAGGCGTTGTTCAATATTCCATTCAATAAAATATGTTAAAGCGAATTTTATTTCTTCTATTTTTAGTTCATTTTATCTACCGTTTTCTTATTCTATCTAATCTCATAATTTCTATGTGTTTAGGCTTTTTCTAAGCTTTTAAAATAAATAAATAAATAATGTTTAATTTAATAACATCGATATATGTATAGAATAAACCCTTTTTTTCGTCTTCTGTTTTGTCTTATCAAAGCAAACTTCCTTACGTAATAGCAATATTATGGTAATAATAATAATACTATTGATTTTAATATTACTATGATTACAGTTAATACAATTTCAACTTATTATTGATTGTTATTATTGTTAGTTCCAGTTTGCTTGTTGTTTTCAATCCAAACAGTTTGTCTCTTGTGTATGTCCATCTAAATTAAAGCTTTTTTATAAAACAAATTATTATGTATAATTGTGTTGGTATGAATAAGCATTATTGATAATTTGTTTATTTATTTTTGATTCATTCCTTATGCTGTCCTGATTTAAAAACATGAAAGCTACCAAGTTTAGATAATGTTATGAATTCATCACTCGAAACAAATGAAACATTGTGTATTCTGGAGGTTTCAGAAGTTACAATTTGTCCGTATGCATGTTGCACATAAAGCACCTTCAGTTCATTTTATCAACGAAATTTGGAATACTTTATTTGGTGTAGTTTGTGTTGTTAGTGGCTCCGTTTTCATCTTCAAAAAATCTTTCAATCAGAACTCAGGGGTGTGAAATAGAATTTTTTCCAGAAAATACAAGTACTAAATTGGGCAAACGTTATTGATGTACAACAATTCATATATATTCTTAATCTAGAAACCGATTCTGTTACTAAAAACTGAATACATAGCGTTGTACTACTCTAATAGATTTCCAGTTATATTTCATCTATTCCAAATACAATAGATAATCTAACATTTTTGATGGTGATGTTTTTATTATTAACAGTATTTTATCATGATGATTTATAAATCCATTCAGTAAAGTGCTTAACAATTAGTAAATTGTATTTGTTAGTTCACTTGTAATCGTCTTTTTAAACCCAACGACAATTCTTAAATGATGCGTCTTCTCGCCAACAGATTGTTCATTCCGATCCTGCTGGATTTATTTTAGTTTTGGCAACCGGGCGTTTTCAAAAGTTCGCACACAAACTAACCGGATGATCATTTATCGAATCCAAAGAATTTGATATTAAATTTTGGATTTACTCGTTTAGAACTAAGTGACCTATACACTGAACTATCTCTCCACGGGTATAATAAACAGTAACGTTTGTCTGTTGACACAGATCGAAAAGTTTATTTACTGAATTGATTTATTAGCAGTTTTTTGTCATTCTTATTCAATAATTATGTTGTTGATTTTCCCGACATTTCGCCCTAATTCATCGGTTTCACATTTATACCTTCTGATTGCTTTTCATATTGCTGTATTTTACTGTAATTTGTTTTAGTTTAATCAATTGATTCTGTTCACGTTACATATGGATAAATCTTAATGCTTTTATCGTAACTTTACAGGCTAATCTATTCGTCATAAATCATAACTCATCACTCTTATAAACGGATTTGTCTAGTGGCGATATTTTGTCGAACATGTCATTGTTATTATTCACTTCTTTTTTTTAATTTATAATTTTGATTGATATTTCTTTTATTTTCGCTGGTCTATTGTGTTTTCTTTTAGGTGAAGTATTTGATTATCTTGTTTCACATGGGAAAATGAATGAAAAAGATGCACGTTGTAAATTTCGTCAAATTGTATCGGCTGTACAATATTGTCATCAAAAAATGATTGTTCATCGTGATTTAAAAGTAAGTTGTTGCTCAATATTGTGATTGATGCCTCTATTGATAATAATTAGCCTTTTTCAAAATAAGAAAAAGAAAAATAAATTTCGATAGTTTTAGTGTATTGACGCAAGAAAACTTCTTGTTCTTTTCAAGTTAACCGATTTTTTTTATGTCTTTTATGTTTTCAATTACCGGTTTGCATTTCATGTATCTTCATGTTAAAAACAAGTGCCTTGACATGTAAATATGTAACAATATCACTCTTATTGTATGATGTCAATACACTATCGAAACATGCTTGATTGTTGCATAATGACTAACAAGATTATTAAGTTAAGATTGGTTATTATGAAAGATCAATTACTGAGACTTAACTCTACAAATAATCAAGAGAAGATTATTATTTTATTAGTGCCTAATTAAATACGTATATGGTCGTTTTATTGGATAATTTATACAACTTAAACTAGCTAACAATAGTATCATGTCATTGTCGAAATGAATTAGGCTTAGAGCCTGTAAAGTAATGATTAAGAACAGAGAATTGTTCAAACCTTTTTCTTAATTTTTCATCACATTTTCTCATTAAGCCGTGCTTATGAATGAATTTAATTCGGAATTGTAATCAAGTAATAAACCTGTTGTGCTTTAAGTGAATTATACAAACAATCAGTTCATCATTATTGTGTTGTGAAATAAATTTCTAATCATTCGAATTATTCATTTATTCATTCAGTTGAAAATTTCAACTAAATAACCCTACCTATATATCATGTATTATCTTAGAATGCGAGTAGATTGATATATGTGTTTTTAGTACTAAATATTTATGCACTGATGAAACAGCCTGCATGTTTACGACCAGTTAATCATTTCATTAACCTAAACAAACTTGAACTTAAACTTCAATTTACCTTAGAATTCAAATGATAAAATCGGGGAAAAATATTACATGATGGTTGTAAGTTCTTCGTTCAAAAGTGTAATTCACTCAACACTTACTGATCCCTCTGAAATAACGTTTAGTTTAACATAATTTAATTGTTAAAATGGATGATTAAGATACCTGGAATGATCGTATAGTTATGCTCGTTTACTAGTAGGTTACATCTTGTGGTAAATTGCTAATTATTTTGCACAAAATAAGCTTTACGGAACATAAATTGACAATAAAATAATATTGTTACACTGATTTAAACAATTTTTCTTAATCACCTGATGATATCTGAACGTTAATATTCTAACTGATAAATTATTCATCTACTTTGTCTTCAATTGAGATTAGCTATTCTTTGTTAAACTCATAAAATCGGTCTTTTTTGTTTGTTCAGATAATCTTATTTCAAAGTTCACTGTTTACTATCATATTTAAATTCGAATGGTTTAAACGTATCAAGCTTGTTACGTAAGCTGATAACATTTTAAGTTCATCAGCTTCAGACTGCATAAAATTTCCATCAAAACACCTCAGCTATTCTCATTTATTTATGATGTGGGAAACACAATAGCCGTTGTCGTTGTACTTATGGGCGATCAACTTCGTTGATTTACAAATTTCTCGAATTAATGGTTACTTAATTTACAAATACTTACAGTATAATCTGTTAATATTTTTAGGATAATTCTCGTATTTGTTTATGTTTATATATTTTCAACCATCAATTTTTACACTTCTGTTTTATTTTTTTAAAGGCTGAAAATTTATTACTCGATGCAGAATTGAATATAAAAATTGCAGATTTTGGATTTTCAAATTATTTTTCAAATTCACAAAAATTGGATACATTTTGTGGTAGTCCACCGTATGCTGCACCGGAATTGTTTTTAGGACGGAAATATGAAGGTCCTGAAGTTGATGTATGGTCATTAGGTGTAATTTTGTATACATTGGTTAGTGGTACATTACCATTTGATGGAAAAAATTTAAAAGTAAGTAACATATATTGTAGTCAAATCTTATTCAATTTAATGTGATAGTTGTCCTGTTCATTTATGTTTATTTTATTTAACTTTTCTATTTACTGCATAGTTAGTTAATAAGTTTTCTCTTGGTTTTTTTTATTGCAAATGTTTTATTATGTTCCACTAATGACCAGTTTTCTTCCATTTATTTCAATTCTTCGTATCCCTATATTGCGTTTGTTCATTTAATTTAATATAAGTACATAAGGCTGATTGTGTTGTGTCAATTGAGTACGCACCAATGATTTAATGATTATCTAATGTTCATTTTCATCATTAGTTTTAAATAACTTATTAAAATGTAAATTTTTTTATGCAATTAGTGTTCAGGTGTGTGAGTAAAAAGTCATCATTATATATGTAGTGATCTTATAATTCCCTGAACTGGTAGGATATCAGTAGACAACATTTGGATATAGACTTGTAAGTACGAACTGATTCAAGCTAGACCATTGTTGGAAACTTGGAAGCTCTAAGCGGCGGTTTTGTTAGCAGTTCGCGTCCACAACCCCTTACGTGGGGATCAAATACAAGACGTTGATTTGCGCGCCGACTTTTAACCTCTAGACCGCGGTTACGTTTCGTCCTCTCAGCTGGATGTTCTGGTTGTGGAGCTTTCAGTATTCTTCCGAACAACATTATCAGCACAAATTTCTGTAAATTTATAAGAATGAATTATCTAAAGACAACAGATCATTTTTTTATTTACAATCGAATTGCACAAGATTTTACAGTGAATTATTGTTATTTAGTTTATTCCTTATGATATCGATTCTTATGCTTGAATTTAAATGAAGATTGGAATAAAACGTAAGTTTTCTACACTGAAAAACGAATAAAATCCCGTTAAAAGTCATATTTATCAATTACTAACCATTTTATTTTCACCCCTCTCTTTTTTTAACTTCACTTAATAAAATATATGCAACTGTAGTTCATTTTGTAGTTTTCTATATTTAATGAAAACTCTTTATTAGACCACAATGTAGTCGACCATGTCCTCGTTATTGTTTACCATTGTCATTGTAAATTTTGCCATTCTTTTCTTGACAAGATTTTCTAAGAAATTTATTCCATTTCAATGCCTTTTCTTATCGATACTTATTCATTAGCTGATCAGTTTGTTTTCTAGCTAGTAAATAAGTAAATGAGTTAGTTATGTGTGAATTCTTCACCCTAGATAGAACAATAAGTAAACTAGACAGTGATCTGCATTTTATTTGTTATTTCGTATTTCAAAGTCGAATTCAACTCATAAATTATGCAATATACGTTCGTTCTGCATCAATCGCTTTGTGTGTCTGCGTTATGCATGTTCGAATCAGTAATAAACATTAGACATTAATATACAGTTCATGTGATGATAAATATTGAAATGAAAAAAAAAACAAAACAAGAAAATAATCTAACAATTCATATTTGTTTTTCTTAAATTTGTATGTATTCATGTTTTTTACTTGTCTTTTTGTATAATGGAATGTGAGAAAAAAGTCTACTTACACATATCAGTAGTATATATATATATATATATGCTTTGACTTTTATGTTTGCTACTTTTGCTAACTGTTTATAGTTGTTTGTTTTCACTACTTAGAAACTGTATTTACTTACGACTGTGTGACTTAATAGCATATAATCATTCCCTTGTTTTACACTGTTCCTCCGTTTTATTAATTCTGTTTTGTAATTAGATTGAAATTCATTTAGTCAGTTTTGTAAGAATTCTGTATAATTTGAAATTAACTCTAATTACGGACTGTCATGCAGTCCAAGATCATTGGTCAGCTCCTCAGCAGTGCACGCTATCATATATGAAATCGACGAAAAAGCCATTAGATTTTGTAATGAGTTCAATCGCATTCAGTCAATAAGCCACTCCTCTGGTCCAGATCTTATCACTTCATTCAGCTAGTGAAATAAAAGTACATTAATTGATTCCTATACACGATTAAAATTTTTCTACTCACCTGGTACACTCTTTATAGTTTACCTATTGAATAAAACGTCATGAAATGTTAATTGATTTCGTTCTCATATTTATTAACTCGATTGAGATTGTTAGTGAAGGTTTTGTGTATGTTGGGTGAATTTTTCAATACAAAATACTAATCAGCTGAAATAAATCTATTTGAAAATAGAAAATATCATCTGTTTTCTTTCTCGTTCGAGTCTTTTATGATTTCTAATATTTATGCATTCAATGATTTACTGGTTGAATGAAGATAACTAATGTTTTCTAGCGTTTTATTTTTCTGTACTAACTATAATTTCGAAAATGTTTCTAAACAAAGTTATATTCGAATATGAAAGATTTCTCGTAGATTAATGTACATTCACTTCTTATAAATATTATCTAGTATTAAAGTTGAAGCTATTGTCAGTGACTAACTTCGACATATGTTTCATCATATAAATTACTTTGTATTGCCATATAGAGCAATATAATGAAGTTCAGGTAGTTTTATGCATGAGGAATTCTATAAAGAATGAAAGTTAGGACAGTCAGTTAATTATCAGTAGATAGCTAGTGTTTTTTAAGCTGCTAAACGAAATTATTGATGCTCTAATTTATTTTCATAGTATTATTTAACTTGGTACACAGTAGAATGACTATTCATAGTAAACTAATGCACTAGGGCAACTTTAGTAAATGCGGTCCTGTGGTAACCTGTGACCAACACTATGTTTATATGCGATTTGTTTCCACAGCATCCTGGAGCTCATGTGCACCGTTGCTTTGGAATAAGGATTTTCTAACTCCCACCAGGTAGTTCCTGCATACCCACCAATCCGGTTTAAGGGCTGGACATTTTCAATTTCCTGAACAACATCCTGATCGCGAAAAGCTTGTGAATAGGAGCTTGCCGCGCGGCCGTATGAGTGCACTTTTACGTAGAATGCGAACTCTCTTCACTCTCGGTCACATTGGGAGAGATTTATGATAAAGCACCCTCTTGAATAACTCCATATTTTCTAGCTTCTTATCAGGTTCAAGACGTGTTGACATCTTGATTGTGCACTGTTTCAAACAATGATGCTTTAACTTTCCATCCATTGAATTACTTAATGATTACTACTCTAAGTGAAAATAATAAGATTAATGAATCTAACACATTTCACTTACTAGTGATTTGGATAATTCAATGTAAACGCAACTACTTATACAGACTCATGATAAGGAAGAACTCATCGAAAAAAGTATTATTTCTTTGTTCAACTTGCAACGCTTCATATGAGAAAATAGCTTGTTGTTTCAACAGTAGTTCAATGAATGTTTTTTTCGTATTATTCAACTTTGAATTTGTCTTTAATGCAAATTAAAGCGATCGAATTCTAGCTACACCCTTTTATTTTTTTCTTACCTCATAACAAAGAAACCTAAAATCATATTCTTGATCTGATTGAAAAGCAATTTTCCCAGTTAACTGTTTTCTTCTCTTCAATTTGTTGTTGTTGCAATAAATGTTAAGTTGAAATTTGGTTAGTGCCCATTCTTTTGAATTGAAAGTGGATTTATGAGTAGTATGTGCACTACATTTTCTAATATTCATTTATGTAACTTTTTTTTTAATGATTTTCTGGAGAGATTGTTTATTTATTTATTTATTAGATGATTTTATTCAGTGCTTTATTTCATTTGTTGTTTTGGTTGTTTGTTGCTTCGATACTGTTTGGAAAGAATTTCAATTCTATAATTACTATTCTAACAACCAACTATAGTTCAATAATTGGCTACTGTTTCTCGCAAATCGTTATTTACAAATTATGCAACTGGAAGCAAAAATAAAAATGATCAAGAAATAGGGTTACACTTTTGTTTATTTATTTCATCCTATCTTTCAATATACAACCTATATCTATCTATCTATCTATCTATTTGTCGACATGGACAAGTTAATTATGCAAATCCTATTCCATCGATCTTATTTAATACTAGTAGATTCATTTATCGGATATGTGATTTCTATTTCATCATTGAACTGTCTTCCTTTCTTTCTTCTTCATCAGAAAATTACTGCACCTAACTTAATACAATTTATTAGTGTAGGTCATTCATACATTGATTGAAACACTGTTATGCAATTTAGAAATGTTATGATGGATCATAACCTTTTAAACCAGTAAATCGGTTAAAAAATATACTGGTATTATTTTATTAGTAGTTTGGTTTGTTTTCTACTTGTTGTTGTTGTTGATAATGGCTTTTCTTATTTTGAGGTTAATTTTTCTCTACCCTTTTTCTACTGGCAGTGATGCTATTTGCTCCAAGGTCACTAGGCAAAACCAGTTATTCATTACTATGTGCCAATCATCATTGGTACCGATATGGATTTTTCACTCATACCAAAAATGTGGCATTTACACGTTTTTTCTTCTTCTCTGTAAGCCTATTACATATGATCAGACAATGTTTTACTATATATATTTTTCTTAATATAATGAATAGTATGTGGAATTTTAATACAAAATACCAATATGAAGAATAATGGCTAGGCGTTTGAAGTATTTAGTCTTCAACATGTTGGTCACAGATCTCAACTGCTTCATCCACTCCGATTTTAGCTATCGTGTTAGCATCGCTAGTTGTCACGCAGAAAATTTAATTATAGCTGGTAAACCGGTTATGTTACGAAATAAGGATGATTTTGTAGGTTAATACTTAGATGTATGTCTTATTCCCATTATCCTCTTGTGTACAACATTATTGTTTTTATGAAGTAAATTCACATTCTACTAAATTTAGGCAAGAATATCGTTAATTACGCGAAATATATATACATATTTAATGTGTACAGAATCTTAGGGTTGATTACTTACATCATGTGTATTTCGGTTACCTATGTATACCTTAAATAAACGTTTTCTTTCCATTATTTTTACGTACTTTGTTGTTCTTTATTTAGTGAAAACTTAAATTCTAGTATTTTTATTTTCGTACGTAAATAGTAGATATTCATAGAAAGATATTTATAAATATGTAAGAGTGGTAAATAACTGTATGATAAAAAAATGGCTACTTTATTTTATCGGTGTAGATTTAAAACACCAAGTGAAGTGATGCAAAATTTAAACTGTGCATTTTTAACTATGATAGGTCATGTGGAATTTTTTTCAAAGGTGAACTTTTGATGGAAAAGGCAACTCAGTGTGAAATATATGTTGTTTTTTTTTTCAATGAAGAGGACAGTCCTCTTAAAGTTCAGTATATAAATCTTTGTTTCACTGAACAACTAATAGTACATATAATTTGAAATCTAAGCAGAGAATAGTTTAAATGAATAAAAATCCTTATAAGTGCATTCATTACAATCTTATGTATCTTGTCATTACGATTATTGAAAGTAAAAAATGAAAGTAAAAGAATTCTATATATTCGCAGTATACGTAATTTTTAGGGTTTTAATTGTTAATAGCTATTTTGTATTACTCAGTATCTACTACTTCATTTATCTAGTCGGTGTGTGATGAGTCGCCTTCATAAAGAATTATTTAGATAAGACTATTATTTATAGACAAATTTTGAGTGATACCAAAGTGACCTTGAGAAGATTCGATTCAGGAGAAAGTTGACAATTAGTACAAGGGATTGGATTGAAAACTTTGAGGTAGAAATTAGAGTTTCTAATTGTAGTTGGGTTTTCCATGACGAGCTGACATCAGTTTCATTGTTAAATTGTTATTTAGTGGTATGGATGAATGAATTTCACACCCATGAATTATAGTTACGTCAAAAATTCTCATAATTAACTGAATTGGACCAGAAATTCATTTGAAATTGCAAATTATCAAGCAGCAATTTTTATTTGTAATCTGTCAGATGTATTCACTGACAATAGGACACATACGATGAAAATATTGGTTTTGTATTTGAGAGTAAATTATTATTTCTACAGCTTATTATTATTGATTAAAAATTCGAACGGCAAAAAATCAAGATACAATTGATAAATGTTGCTTGTCGAAAAAGATGTACACTTGATTGCATCTAATGTATTATTTATTCAATAACAAAATCAGGCTATTACATACTTCTCGTATGAATTTCAATTTTGTTAACTTTGCTTAGAACAAGATCAACACTAAGTTTTGAACTGGTAGTTGGGAATGAAATAACCGAGACCAGTGTACTGTCTCAAATCGTTTACTCATTCTAATTTCTGAATTTATAGATCATTCTTTGCTTTTATTGATTTAGGGAAGACATTGTTTGAGAACCATATTACTTTGTAATTATAAATGTTGTTTTTCTTATTTTTAATGCATTGCTAGTTTTATTATTACAGCTCAGAAATGTACATTGGTATGAATGAAATCGATTGTCTGATTTGACGTTAATGGTTTAGCTGTTTACTCAGAAAGCTCAATAAATCACCCAAATAAACTATCTACCCAAACAATTCACCTTTATAGATTATAAATGAACAATTATATATATATATATATATATATATATATATATATATATATATATATATATATATATATATATATATATATATATAATGAAATAAAAGACATGATTTCAATTCATGTCTTTTGTTGTGAATAATTTTGTGAATAATTTTTTTGGACTCTTTCATCAATTCATAAAATACAGACAGGTTCAGTTGCTTATCCATCATGGCATCATTTCAGAATAAATGATTCTTGATTCAACTAACAATAAAGGAAGTGATACCAACAATAATTATACTGATTGGTTGAAATTTTTAAAGGTACATTATATCATGGCGCGAAAATTGATTTGCTCTGTGTCATGTATTCACAATGCTGGATAATTCTGTAACTCATCGAGTGAAACCAATCAATTCATACATCTAACCTTATTCTTTCATATTCTCTTTTCTTTCTTTTATCATCGCATTTTCAGGAATTACGTGAACGTGTACTACGTGGTACTTATCGAGTGCCTTATTATATGACACATGAATGTGAAATGTTATTGAAAAAAATGTTGGTTCTTAATCCATCTAAACGTATTTCACTACAGGTAAAAACAATTCTACTATCATTCTATTCCATGTTATTTTATGATGGTTTTTTTCCATATACATGTATATATATATATATATATATATATATATATATATATAATCTTCTGAAAATTAACATAAACTAGATCATGAATAATTTATTAGTAGTAATGACCTTATGAACTTTGATGCTAAAGTACCATAAATTCATGGTATCAATGAAGGACTGCTTTTTATTTCAGATATTGTTTATATATATATATATATATATATATATATATATATATATATATATATATATATATATATATATATATATATACTTAGTTTGTATATTCTACTATAAGAATACCTTGTTAATTCATAATTTTGTGGATTTCACTTCAATCGATGATTAAAATCCATTTTCACCAAAATGTTATTTGATCTTTTGTGTTGTTAATAAAAAAAAAAACCTGATTTCAGTGTATCATTGTGATCACATTTCAAGTTCAACTTTATTTCACTCAATATTATGCTTTTGTATAATAATGCAATTATATGTTAGAATAATTAATGAAGTAGCTTTTTGAATTTTGTTGTATTCGTTTGTTCTTCCTTTTTCTTACATTTTTTTCTCCCCAAAATTTTGTATATTGTTCACAACAAATGAATGCTTTTTATTCACTTATCGAATTCATTTAAACGTCTAAATCAATTCTTGTTCAATTAAAAATATGAATAAAAATTAAATAGATGAGAATTGTATATTGACAATTGACAATCTTTTAAATTATTTCAAGATGTAAACAATCATTAAGCCTATCAAATTCATTAAAAACAAAATCATATTTTCTTCAAGTAAATTCTATTTAAATTAGACTAAATGGATTCATCGAATATAGTTGTGTGTTGACAAAGAGATTAGGATAGGAATCAATGACAAGATCAATTTTATGTTTAATTCTTATCTTTGATTTGACATGGTATTTAAACGCATTATACTTTTATGTATACTTAGTCAATAGTTAATTTATTTCTACTTTAAATTTAATTGTAGTTTAAAAGTACTGATTATTTACATACACACACACACACACCAAAGAATGTACTCATTTGATGTTATTCAGTATAATAATACACAAATGTCATTAAGCATTGAGCTCTTACGTTCAATATTTTTCAGTGACATATAATTAGGTAAATTAGAACTAATATTACCAGCCGTACCTAGTCGTGCCTAAATTATGTCTTAAAGCTACGTTCAGAATCTTGTACTCGGTAAACACGTTAATGTATACTTACTATTCGGTGTGTAATGTAGTTCTAGGTTATCAATATTTGATTATAGAAATCTTTGTAAAAATTTTCACATATATTGAGACCACCAAGTGATCAATCTTAAATTTAAACAGAGGTTATTGACAAAAAATGATAATTTGATTGATAAAACTGCCATTCCTCAATGATTATTGTGACTGAGACACACAGTACGTATACTCAATCACCACCTACCTCGTCGCTTTTTATGTTGACTGGTATAGTGATAGATTCATAGAAAGGCTAAGGGGTTCTAAAACAAGCCTCTACATATGTGTGAACCATGTCCAAGCCACGCGGCTGTATTTCAGAATTTATCACAATTGCTTAGACGCATTTAATCCTTATCTTCTCTCATATTTCCAGCTTCATAATTATTGAACGCATTTTATCCTTTAAATTGGTTCATTAGTTCTTCTACCATCAGTGTTTTTTTAAATCACTTATGTTAGTACTATTACTGGTGCTGCATTCGTCTTGATAGTTTTTCATTTCGCTGTTGTCTTCTGGGGCAACGCAGACTAGTGCACATATGCTCAGTTCTGTGTTCCTTAGGACTAACTGACATACATACCGATATGCTAACATGTATGTGACTTCCAGATACTACTTGAAATATTTGTGTCTGGAATTAATTCAATTATCTCGTCGAATGTAATATACGAATTGTTTGGAGCAAATATAATAGAAATGAGTTATTTCTCATAAATTGTCTCTCGTGCACTATGTGTCTGTGATTAAAATGCGTTCGGAACTTTGTCCATAAATACTTTGTGTTTAGACTATTGATCAGTATACACTACTTATGAGCACTTTATACACATTTAAGCATAATCCTAAAAATATGTATTAGTTATTAGTTGGCAATTTAGTGTTAATGTGAATTATATTGAGTGAAATTTCATTTCATTTAATTAATTCCCTTTTTATGAATTTTGCAAATTCTAGAATAACCAACGACTGAATTAGATTCTTATGAATTTGTTGTAGTGATTTTTTATTAAGCTATGGAAAGCGTTAGTCGAATTACCAAAATGCACCAAACAAATTGACAAATACCATACTATTACATAATCAAAGATGATGATGACCGTAACAAAAACTATCGACAAGAGTATTCAACAGTTGAACTTAAAATCCTTAAGAAAGTTGCGATGGGAATTATCGAAAATTGAGAAGTTAGCGAAATGACTTGAAATTATCATTTCATTCCCTCAATATGTACATATTCTAGAAATAACTGATTCAAGTTCACTCCTCAACCAGCTACAGGAGGATTCATATAAACCCTGTAAAACATGACATCTTCATGTCATTGTGCTTATCATTGTCATAATTCATTCTCGTTTAACTGTTTTATGAAATTAGTCTTAATAAGGATATGTGATGATTTAAAAAGAAAAGCAGTCATTTTCTTTTTTATCCATATGAATTGGTAATTTTCTCCAAGAAAATATATCAAAGATTATTCACTGGTATGAATTAGACAATCAATTCCAATACCCTGGCATAATTAGTAAATGGTGAATAACTATTCACCATATTCTTCTCTTTTTTTCTTCTATTTCTCCTTACAGGATTTTGCAATTGAAATTGTTAAAAAGATTTTTTAAATATGACCCATTTGTAGTTAGCTCATTTGTTTAACTTCACGTATTCACTATTTATACGAATTGAGCACGGATTCTTATTGAGCAATATGGATCCGTACACGTGCATATTTCATAATGACATTAAACTGGAATTCTCTGTATCCTGCAGTAAATAGATCAATGTGTTTTGCTTTACCATTAATTAACTCAATTAATTTTTATTTGGTGTGAATTAATGATATTGTCAGTTTACCTCATAGTAATCACATTTTCTAAATGCGTATTTATAAATTAGTTAACAACTAACTGAAACATTGTGTCATAAGTTTCATTGGTTCATAGTTTGATCCATAATTTTGTTTTGAATATTCATTGTAAACATTCTGTGGACTAAAATATTTTCACGTGATTATATGTAATCAAGATTTCTTTCATCATGAACGCCTTGTTTTATTTCTTTGTTGTTGCTTATTTCTAGGAAGTAATGAATGACCCATGGATGAATCAGGGTTATGAACACAATATACTTAAACCTCACACTGAAGAGCCGGCAGATTATTGTGATCCTGAACGCATTGGTAAGTTTCCAATCATTGATTTGATGAGCAATGCAATCAGTGTTTCATAACTTTTAAACAGGTTTTTATCATGCTTCATTTATTTCATTTTGAATGACTGCATTTTATTATTAGCCTTCAGGTAGAAAGTTTGATTACAAGTTGTCTGAATGGATATTGATTCAAATTCTGGTTTTATTATTAGTATTATTACGTAGCAAGTTAATAATTTTCAAAGAAATAAACTGTTTTAGGTGGTTATTTTCCTCCAAGCCTTAATTGTTTAATATTTTTCTCCTAATAAATATTATATCAAGTTCAAGAAAATGTTTCTTTTACTTCTTCAATTGATAATATCAACATTTCAATTGTTTGCATATGAAGAACATTCGTGATATTAAAGTTGAAAACTGCAGTTGATCAGTCTCTTTCTTAATATACATAGCATGAACTCTAATTACTCAATAGTTAGATCGAAAACAATAGGCTGAGTGGGTTGAATTCCCGGCGTGAAAATCAACAATGCAGTCCATCTGCAACTAGCTGACGAGTCGCAAATACGGTAATACACACGTCATGGGTCCAACTGTTAGCCACCATCAAATATTTAAATAGTGTGATTAGAAAATGGTTGTATAAATAGTAAATATATATAGCTATGAGAACAAGGGAACCGATCAATCACTATAAATATTTGCTTATCTACCATCACTAAACCCTGGACAAACTATAAAATTACTTACTGCTGAATAGTTATAATTGTTAGTGTACTTGAGTAAAAAGTTGATATAAAGAGTCATGTTATCGTAATAATACTGATAATAGAGAATTTGGAATGGTTAACTTTGGTATATTGTAATAATGCATTCAGTAATATCGAAATTTTTGAAAACATTGCCTACAATTACTGTATATTGAGGGAGGATTCTAACAAACTAGTTCTGTACTAATAACTCTTATATTCAGAAATGAATAATACCTTAAGCTTCTGTAATGTAAAATAAATGACTTATCGAAATGTTTTTATTTTAAATTCCAAAAACAAATTTAAGGCAGAATTTTATGAATCTACTACCTGTTCCAGAAGACCGCATATAATTTAAACATATCGTCTTCTGCTATGTTATGTTGGAAAATACTTTACAAATGCAACCAAGTATGCGGACTCCCCAAATCAGAATTGAACTGTCTTTAAACCAAATTTCATGCTAAAACATTGGTTCTCTGTTTGCATATCCGTACCAATGCGACCTGGATTGTAGGTTGATTTTTTCAGCAAGCTGGTAATAATATTTAATAGAATTGTATGCAGCCTCAGGTGTACCACTTTACTGTTGCTATGTATGTATATATATATATATGTATATATGCAGGATTTGTATACTTTTTTGAAAAAAGGAATTGTTTATAAAGTTAATTCGAACACACCAACTATGGAGGACATGTTTTGCAACTATACCATCCTACTTGCCGTCGACCACCACCTAATCGTTATATATCCACTACTTTATAAAGTAACAGTCTATTATCATGATATGAATTATTTCAAATCGTGATAATGATAATAGTGATTATTATTGTTGTTTAACTTTGTTGCTATGATGATTACGTACATTGACAACAATAAATAAAATACTAATCTAGTAATCATTTACGTGTACATATTGATTGCTGTAACAATTTGTTTTTATTACATTCCATTAGGATTACTTGCATTTTTATTTCTCTCTTTATATGTCTCTGTGTGTGTGCACGTGCAAACAAGTAAGAGAGAAAGATAGTTATGAATCAATGGACGTTTTCCATGTGTGAAAACTTTCCACTGAAGATAAAACTGCATAAATTCGATTTTCATGTTTGTTGTTTTTACTTTTTCGTTTTGCATTATCGAATCAATGTTCAGTTGTTGTTATTTTGTTTTTTTTTGTTATGAAATCATAAATTCTCTTTAATCAGATATTGTTACTGGATGATTAAAAAAAATATGAAAAATAAAAGTTGATTTCCTCTTTATTAGAATAACCCCCCCCTTTCCTCCAAAAAGATTACGTAATCAAAGTTAACAAAATCTTAGATTGATTTCATTTGACATTGATTTTTTGAATAACCCAATATAATATTTTTTTAAATTACACTAAGGAACAAAAGAGAGCACACCTTATAAGTACAATATAATCAGTACTAAATTTCGTTAGAAAATCATTAATTATTATTCAAATAAGGTTAATTTGTTATTACTTCATTTCTTTCATATAAATTTATGTATTCAACTTGTACGATTTCAGCAAAATATGTAGTCGGCTAATTAATCAGTCAGCCAACAACAACGTAGAAATTGGTACGTACATCAGTTCAAGCTGCAATACCCCATTAACACAGAGAGATCCTATAGTAGTAGGGGTAGTAAACGTATTAGCTGTAATGAAGATGATTAGGGTTCTGAGATATTATTCAAGAAATATAATCTTGTATAATGAATTTAAAAAGGAGAAAAAAGTTAATAAGGAATTTTGCAGATTACAATTTGAGAGAAGATAGAGAATGGATGCATCTTTGCCATTGCTAACAATGTTTAGCCATGTCTTTCAACGTCTCTAAGCATCGTATACTATCGTCTCGCGGACCAAAACTAAATCTAATTATCAGTGATTCCATGGATCATTGTTGTGTTTTGGTTTGACTGGCCCTAGCTTTCTTCCAACCTACTTCACTTTAAAACATTGCTCGTTGAGGCAGTCGGCGGTTGGGCACACGTAACACATGTCCCAACTACCTCAACTGATGCAGTTTCAATACTTTATCTATTCATCTGCCATCGTTACCTAGCATACTACTCATACTGCACTTTTGCTTACTCAGTGAATTCAGAACACATTAGCGATTCGTATGATAGTAAGTATGATAGAATTCCAGTAATCTACGAATATCCTCTATTCTCACCGATGTTTCACACCTGTATAGTAGAACGGAGCAAACTGATAGGCAGTAAGCTCCTTTGTTTAGTAGAATAATATCTCTTTTACTCCATAAGTAACGCAAGTTGGCAAGAGCCAGCCGAACCTTATGTATCCATGCTGAGATTTCATCACACACCAGGCTTTAAGACTGATGAGACTCCCATGATTAGTGAAGCAATCGATTCCATAGATCTACACATCATGCTACACATTGATAAATAAGTTTCATCTTCTTAACATTATTGATATTTAAGAGTTTGGTAGCAAACTGATTTTAGTTCAGTATTTTGATTGTGTATACAATTTCACCTGATGTCATTTAATTATAACTATTATTACATATCTCAATTATTTAACATTAGTTCGTATCTTAATCTGTAAGTGAAGTTTTTATAATTCTAATGAAATTGGATTTGTAATGTAGTGACAGAAATATGAATACATTGATTTGAAACACTTTAGTTTTAAGCTATAATGGATATTGTGATGCGCGACTATCCTAGTTTCGGTCTAATGTAGTTTTATTGGTGCTAAATGCTTATTGGTCGAAATATTGTTTTAGTTTTCATTGGTTTTTTTAACTGCTAGTCAGTTCGCAATGAAAGCTACTTTTGACGTAAGGAGATTTTTATCAACTGTATGCGATAAATAATTATCGCATATTCTACAGATTTACTTTACTTCATGATTGTAATAGTTATTGGACTATGCAGCTTAATTCACATTTTTTTCCGGTCTTAATCATAAATTTTAAAATCGTCATTTATTTGTAGATATATATATATATATATATATATATATATTTATATTTTAATTCATTGGTAGATATTATGATTCGTATGGGTTTCAAACGGGAGGATATTCACGACTCTTTAACCCAACAACGATTTAATAACATTACTGCTACATATTTGCTATTAGCACGTTATGATTCACGTGTTCATGGTCGGTTACGAGGTTTACCTAGTACATCTACTACTAGTTTAAAGTCAGATAATCAATCAGTGCGTTCACGTCAAACACCAGAAACACAGTCTAGTACGCCAAACACTTCGAGATCACAGTTTTACAATTCACCATCACATAACAGTTTAGGTATGCCATCAGCCACTATTTCTGGTCCAGTAACTCAACATTCACTAACAAATGGCGTTACCAATCGTATTACTGATTCATTTAGTTTAAATAACAAGCATGCACCTGCTGTTTCTCGTACTAACAAAGATACAACTTCTGTTACTACTACAATAACATCCGAAAGTTTACATACAGACACCTATGTGAATGCGACTCCGTCTACGACAAACTCAAATTCAAATCATAGTACTCGCGGTTTTACAAGTTCGGTGCGCAGATCTGTTACTGTTTCCGGGCCATCAGATTCAGCTCCTTTATCAGGCAAGTTTATATTGAAACAATGTTCTAAATCTTCTGAGAACTTTTATGACTAAATGATTCTGTAAATCTTTTTACTTCTGTTTAATTAATGTTTGTTTTGTATTTTCAGGTGTGTTATTAAAATCGCCGGTACTTCCTACATTAACTACTCTTTCATCTTCAGCATCACAGAGTGCATCATACACTCCACCGTCTCAAGCACCACCATCTGATAATTCTCATCAGATACCTGCAACCCAACCGTCAGTTATTACTCTTCATCCCGTTGCTGTTACTGCTCATTTAACACTTGCTAATATGTCCAACGGACCGTCATGTTCTATTCCATTAAACTCCAATTCAGTACCACCATTAGTGACATCATTTACTCGGCATAACTCTCGTCCAAGAGCTGCTACTCGATCATTTTCTATTCAACCACAAACTATTGCACCGTTAGCACTAGATGAAGAAGAAATTGGCAATTCAACAAAAAATCGACGAACTCGTAGTAGAAAATCACCGTCTGTTGAAAATAAATTAAACAATTGTACAAATGGCTTAGTAAAAGAATTATCAATTTCTTCAACAAGTTCTGAAGATGCAGCATCTGATGATAATGATTTATACGATAAAGATTCTGATTCTGTATCACAGGGTTCTGTTAAATTATCTCGTTCTTCGAATAAATCACATAAAAGTAAACATTTTTATCGTACACATAAAAATCACAATTCTGCATTAGTAACAACAACAACAACAACAGCTTCAACAGGAATCACAATGACACCGACATGTGTCACTTTAGCTGCTGCTCCTACCACAAATTTTAATAATAAAGGCTATTCATTTTTTCCAAATGAAAAAGAGACCTCAGGTACATGAAAATATTAAAAATAAAAAAATACGCCCATTCTGATATTGTTATTGCTTTTGCTTAAGTTGATATATTAATATAAAATGACCTTATCACTAAGCGTTTCCAATTGACAGTTTTTATTAGTTCTTACTCACAGTTTAAGAAATAATATTCGACAATAAAAACTTCCCTTTATTGAGTTATCAGAATAGTAAAAGTAGTTCGACTAAATCTCTCTTTCATAGTATGTATCTTTTTACTATAGTTATTTGACAGCTATGAAAATTATGATATATAGAAAAGGATTTAAAAAATGCATGTAAGTCAACAATATTGGAAAAGATAGGAATTTTAAAGTAATTCTATCGAAGTAAATTTTCATCGTTCAACATTTTCACACTATGTACATGAAGTATTTGTGCTTACTTGTTACTGTACTTTCTTGTAAATCTCCATTGAATTTATTTTATTTTACAATAGTATTAGTTGTAGTAGGAATAGTTAACTATTTCCTGTAGTTTGGTCCTCATAAGATTTACTAAGGTAAGAAATGTACGGCTGTACAATCAAATCTAATTGTTATGTATGTTGTCATCAAGTATCCATTCAACATATTATTTTTAGCCTATATATCTATCTTAGTGTGAATCACTAGATAGTAGCATTTTCTTACTTGCTTTCGCTCATTGTCATTATAAACAATAATCATAATTACTTAATTATTCCTGTTACACCTCATAGAGCATAGACCCCCGACCAGCATTCTCCAACTTGCGCTTTCCCAGGCCTTCCTTTCTTGTTCTATCCAATAGCTACTCATTCTTTTCATGTCTGCATCCGATTCTCGACGCACTTTTTTGTCATCCATTTTTTTATTTTCTCTCTCACAATGCATTGTTGCTGGCGGTGTCTGGCCAACGGATTCGGACTATCTTGTGTAGACAAGTGTTGATAAAGACCTGTATACTTTGAACGATGGTTTTTGCTCTCAGAGTTTCAGTAAAGGAAAAGTGAATTGTTCTAACGTTAATGTCTAAAATTCTGACGTCGGTGTCGGTTGATAATTATTTTAAGTTCCAGTTGTTCTTCAATTGTATGAATACTTCCCTTGCTTTTTTAATCCCTGACTGCATATCTGCATCAGATTCACCTTACTAATCAATGATGTTGCCCAAATATGTAGTGGCTTCTACATCTTCCACAGCTTCTCCATCAAGTATGCATTGGCTGGTGCATGTTGTGTTGTGCTTCAGGTTTTCGCTTTTTTTGTGATTGTTGTGACCTACCACTTCAAAGGCTTCCGCTACGCTAAAAGTCTCTAGCTTTATTTATTTCTGTATACAGTATAGAAGATCTGGGTCATCTGCAAAGTCCAAATCATTTAGCTTCATCCGGCCTGTCCATTGTATTCCTTGCTTCCCTCTACATCTTGACATTTTCATAATCCAGTCAACCCCATAAGAAAGAGTAGTGGTGAAAGTAAGCAACCTTATATGACATTGGTCTTCACTTGTAATAAGTCTGTGAGCTGTCATCCATGCATAATTTTGTGATATAGTCCATCGTAAGAATCCCGTATGATTTTGAATATTTTCTTAGGTACACAACAGTGTCGAAGAAGCCTCCATGATGTCATTTAGTCCACGCTATCGAACTGCTTTCTCATTGCCAAGGAAGTTGGTGTATAGTAGTGAATTTCATTCAGTTGATTATTTCAAACTGGTCCGTTGTGTCGCACAATTTGGTTTAAATTATTCTATCTGGTTAGCGTTTTTCAGCAAATTTGTTTTCTGTGGCATGAAGCTTTTTACACTGTGCCCAACCGTTATTTAACCGGGCTTTCAACCGGGACTAAATTTAGAAGGGCTACATCCGGAGTTACTATTAAACGATGATAGATAAATTTAATAATGCACATTCTTTTAACGATTAGTCTGTATTAAAACATTTTTAGTTACTTATTTGCTATTTTAAACACAACGTGATGAGAAAAAATATCGCGCTTGCATCATTTTTAATTGGTTTTCCATAAAGCGCATTTCCTTTTCATTGAATTAGCAATGTGTACACTTTTTGGCTAGCAGATTATGTTTTCTAATAAATGGTTTATCCCATCTTGACTTCCATATACGTTCATTACAAAGGTAATAAAAGAGTAAAATGAAGCTGTTAATTTTCAATCGATTTAAAGAAGGTACATTAGTCGATTAGTTTGTGAATTTTCGTAGGCTTAAATTCATGTGTCCCGTTCGTTAAAATACTGCTTAACGTAATGTGGAAATTAAAATTATACTGAAATATGTTTTAAAAACTATCTTCCGATAAACAGTTCTGACGAATTTTCTAAACATCTGTAATCTTTCCAACTTATGGGATTGCATAAAAATTATTGGTTGCAACAGCTAAAACTATCTCAACTGTTTTCAAATAATCATGGTTTCTCAATAAGTCTTCTATCAATACTTCTTGAATTTTGTAATTAATAAGCACACTATTATTATTGTTATTTGAGTAGGTCGTAGAAAATGAGTTACGTGTTTAGATGGCCTTTGTAGTTATTCGACCCCAGTATTATCCTTTCTGATTTGTTAAGACAGTAGATGATATGCCATATTGCAATACTTTGATCTATTATTATGTTTGTATCACTAATTATCTGATTATTTTTGTCATTTACTTGTTCTTTTAGTCAATGGTAGTACTGAAGAGACAGCAACAATGAATCACGTACAGCATCGAGAAACATCTCAATTTAATCGGTAAGATCGGTATAAGTGAAATCAAATCTATTTATATGCATATTGATCAAATCTTAATGTATAAACATTGATGATAAGGTCATATCTTTACTTATTAGATTTCTTTTTATGCATAACATTGAGTTGAATGTGGTTAAACACCAGTGAAATAGTTCAACTACTTGCTACCAATGGGACGAAATAATAAAATTATTTGTCGTCAATCACCGAGATTCTATTTTAACGCTAATATCATTACAATATTTATTATTTCCCTTTTTACGATTTACCAATATTTGTTTGTATTTGACAGTGAACTTATTACTTAGCTTATTATTTTCGTATCATAACACTACTGCATCGAAAATTTTCTTGTTTTTATAGTCATATAAAAGCTCATTGTCATTCAAACACCGTAACATAGACAAAAACAAATGCAAATGCAAATTCTGTTTTCAAAACTTTCGTTTTAGATGGACACTTTATTGAAATAGCAAATAATATACAACAACTCGCATAATTTTTGTAAAAATCACTAGCAGAGATCAAATCTTTAAAAAACGTTGACGGAAACGTTTCAGCAGCAACTTCATTAGCATTTAGATATTTTGTTTAGTTCGATAATTAGTTGTGCTACGTAGAAATAATTATGATTTTCAAGTATCTTGGGTTTTAAAATTCTCACTGATCCAGGTACTATTTTTTTAATTGTTTAATAGTGTATGATTTGTAATCGTAACAGAAGCTGGATGTCATTTACTGACCAAACTAAGCTTTTTATCCTGTTTATTATTTATAGTGCTACCCCGGTTCGACGCAAATCAATTAGTACAACAAGACCTAGCTGTTGTAAGTCGAGATATGCTATTATGTTTGTTTATTCATATTTATTCTACAATCAACGTCTTCATCTTTGTACTACTAATGATGTATTAAGTAAACTCGTAATTTTATCATCATTTTGTGTCGTTTTGACAAACCATTTCCTTTTTTTATTTCAGTGACCAACACTACATTGACAGTGAATGCAAATTCATCACCGCTCAATAATTACTCCTCAATTTCTGCCAATAACGATAGGGAAACTACAACTAGCTCCACTGTTTCTTATAAAAATTCAATTACTTCAACAGTAGCAAATCGTGTCAATTTATTTAACAATGAATTCAATAAGAATAACACATCTTTAGATATCGAATCAAAGAGTCTAACTAAAGAACAAAATCAGCCAAGTATTTATCCTAAACCGCGAACAATGTTTCGTTATCCCCCCAATGCTGCAGATATACTAAAGTATGTTGAACAATAGTGTTTTTTAAGAAATAAATTATCTTACCTTATATAATAACTTTAATAACAATGCTTTATTTTAGTGATAAGATTATTGTACATTTTTTCTACTTGAGTTGCCTTTCTATTAAGAATGAAATGAATTTTATCAATAATTACTTCATTTATCTCCATGAACTGACCACTGTTAAATCACCATTCGAAACCTGGAAGCACTGGACGGCCGTTTCGTCCTAGTTTGGGCATCATTAGCAGGGTACAAACACGATCCCGCAAATGGAAAGTCACCTCAAGACCTTCGATCTCGCGCCCGTAAACTTTAAGTGTTGACCGTTTCCGAGAACCAAACGGTGTTATTCCGGATATTACAGCAAACGATACACTTTTCAATCATCAAGATTAGAAGGTCCATATTTTGACATTTATTCGATTGACAATACAATACGATTTTCAAATCATGTTATCGATGAGTTACTGCATCATTTGTGACTTGGGCAATAAATTATTTGGTAGCGATAATCATTTTGTTAAGCCGAATCAGAAAAAAGTAGATAATCTTCGGTTGAATAAATATATATGCTTACAAACAACCCTACTCGAAATACTTAGTAAAATCATTTTAATGAATGAGAGATGTAATAAATTTTAAATCTTATTACTTAATTACTGTTACTAATAGTTATCTTATAAACATCCCTTTTTATATCTTTTAGTGAATCTAATCCATTTCGATTGGTCAATGACATATCAGTAACTGAGTCATCAATCTCACCACCAGCTATTCCACCACATGGCTCTCGTTTACCTGGACAAATGAATTCTCCAACAGTTAAACAATTCAATGATAATATGAATACAAATCAGACTAATCAATTTTCAGGAGTAGTGACAAACACAAGTACAACTAACAGTAGTATTGCTCCAATCAACTCGTTCGGTGCTACAATAAGGCGTCCTACAGCACCTGTCCCACAAACTACTGTTGCTCCTAATTCAACTGCTTCTATTAATCCAGCAACACGTACATCTTATGCTTATCATTCATTAAGGTAATTAGTTATTATTACTCTTTCTCTTTTGAATATTTTTTTTAGCAACAGTCTACAATTAACATATTTTAATATAAACCATAAACTCTTCTGTGTGATATCTGTGTTAAACTTTTGATTAACAGTTGATAACCTTAGGTAACTTATATAAAGCTTTTACTTGTCGAAAGACTGTAATTACTAACGGTCAGATGATTCACATATCGAGTTCTCGTTTTAACTCGAATCTTGTGATGTGTACATTTACTCAACATCAGGATGACTTATTATCAAATTTTATAGAGAAGATTAAGCTACATTCGATAATTGATTATTCAGAGTGTCAATGAATAATGATGTATGAACGGCTTCTTGAACTTATTTTTGCTCAAATGCTAGTAACTTATTCATGTCTTCCGATTTCTAAGGTCATGTTTCATCACCGTAAAGTAAGTTTAAGCATATCTTGCGTTGTTTATTCACTGTGTGATAGACGGATGAATATATTTCCTTGTTTACAGTTGACGTAAGTTACGTAATTCGAACAGAATTTTTGAGTCAGTATCAGAACGTTAGCAGCTATCAACCTATCAGGATTGATAAGACATCCAAAGTAAGTAAAGTGAATAAAAAACTTGACTAATTTATTATGGCTTAGAACGCTATAATGAGGGAAAGGTAACTCGGAGGAGGTAGCAGTAAAAGGTACAGACAAGATATCGTAAACTATCTCAGAATAATTACACGTCTCGATTATTAGACTTAAGTTTGGCCTTTGGAAACCATTATTTCCCTTAATTTATTGTTTCCAGCCTTAGTGAACCGATAAAGAGTCAATTCACTCGACTCGAGTTATTTCCACAAACTTATCAATTGTTCATCAACGATCATTTAAAACTTCAACATTTCATCATGTATAATCGATATAAATACCTGAACTTTTCTCACGTCTTTAAATATTATATTACATTATTAACAACTAAAATTGCATTGGTTTGTTATTCACTTGATAAATATTTGTTGATTTCATTTACAAACAATATCATTGTGTAAAGCACCAAACATTGATTAAAATTATTTATCTAAAGTTAACTTTATTTTGTTGTTGTAGATTACCATCTCATACAACTACTAATAATTCTACTAATGAAATTCTCTTGCATCATCAACTTGGTCGCGCAAACAATCAATTAGTCCGTCCATCGGTTACCTCCCTTTGGTCCAATGGTGTTAGCGAAATCGGCTCAAATCAGTTATCTTCAAATCCTCCTTATGCATCTAGTTCTGCAGAGGCTACAACAATCCTTCCATTTAGTCGTAATCTACCAGAACGGTCAACAATTCAGCATGTGCCGACAGGAAGAGCTAGAGAACGTCTTGAAGGAACATCCGGTCGTCCGCGACTTGTTCGCCACCCTGGAACACAAAGTATTGCCCACCAAACTAATGAGTCTCATTCTCGTACATCAGGCAGTAGTTCAAATTTCGCTACTCCACGACCTAACAGTCCTGATCTGTCAATATCTTCCGAAGCTTCATCTGTTTCCACTTTAAGTCATCACGATGATCGAACTGATTATGATGAAGAATCTCCAACACCAGAAAATGAAAAACACGTGGATGCTAACCATAGAAGCCATACTATCGGACCATCTGTCCAACAATTCACTCGAAACTTTTCTGTTCGCCCTTCAGGTAATCGGTTGGAGCACGAATCAATTCACAATAATTCAAATACTAATGGAGGTATCAACAATTTTTTTCGTACCCTAACAACTCGCATATCTAGTAGGTAAGTGATGCGTATACGATGGGTGTTATTTTATGATACGAATACCGTTACATACTACAAATAACTATTTTCCCAATCCTTTTTCTTTAAACAAGATGAATGTAGTTACTTCCGTTAATCATATTATTTTCCTTGTATCACGGTTAGGAATACTATCTTAGTATGTAAGGTTGTAAAATGACAAGGATGACATTTTTCCCACATATATTTATGATATTATCGTCTTTTCTGAATGGGAATATTTTGCATGTAATGGTAATCTTATAGTGTTTATTGACTGTAATCCAAGCGCATTCTTTTCACTTACACTGAGTTACTTACTTACTTAATCTAACACCAACACCCCAGTAAATATATTCCATTTGTAAGAGATAAGTTTAAACAATAATCGTGTTTTACTTAAGACGTGCTGTAAAACTTGATTGCTAATACTTAATAGATCTCACTCTTTATAAGTATTCATTATCTCCAATTCGATTAACTAAAAGATTCTGTTTATATTAACTTTCTATGCAACACTGTTGCATTTAACTTGTTCATTAGGCAAAATTTATCATCAGACACTAAATTAACTCCTTCATTAAAAATTAATGTTTCAGATATTTCTACATTTTCATTAGTATAAAGAATTTACCAATCTTAAACTTCTGTCAAACCTTTATTCTTAAGTAACACATGAGCTAACACTATTTACAGTGATTGATTAAGACTTTTAAGATTAATTCAGGTAAGTATTGTAAATGAACATAACAAAAAATTCACTGTTAGCATATTTACATACAAATTAGTATAATTAGAATATCTATACACATTTCGTGAATAAGCTTAATCAAAGATTTCTGTATAAAAAATAATTATTCATCCATTAGTTATTTTTTAACCTGCTCTAGTTAGTATGTGTTGTCTCCATGCAAAGTTAATTTGATGCTGATTAATTTCTGTAAAGTATATGATTCTATAACAAATATGTAATGTATGTTTCAATTTTTACAGTAAATTGTTTAGAAGGTCTGCTGTACTTCAACCCGGTTTTTTGTCCACTTCTCCAGAGAATAAGATATCTAATTTGAGTGACACAAAAGATTCCGATGTGAGAATAGCACCAACAATGGAACTTGAAAAACTTGCAGTTGCATGCGGTAGTCCTCCACCAGAAACATGTCATAAAAACAGTTCTATAAGACTTCCACGAAGTCGAAGTGGAGTTACTCCACATCGGGTCACACCTCAGGGATCTCGAAGGCTAACTGATTTTAATACAGATACTGTTGACGAACGTTTAAATCGAAAAAATGTAGACGCAACTGAGACTCTGAATCGGAGAAGAAATAAAAATGAAATGAATTTAGATGGCACTGGATCTATAAATCGAAGACACAGTCCATTCTCCCGAGACTCTCGATCTCAGTCAACACACCGTTCATCCTCACGACATGATGATCTTAACAATTCAAAACATACACCTCCACCAGTCCCAGCTCGTGGTGCAGTTGGGATACCTTGCTCAGGTCAGAATAAGTCTCCTTCGCCGGGAAATGATAATTCACTATCAAATAACGGTATGCGTGATATCACTCTTGGACGAACACGTAGTTTGCGGTTCATGTTTCGCACTGAAACTGCTAGTCGACACCAAATAGATGAAATGATGCTGGATATAAAACGGGTCCTAACTAACAATAATATCGACTTTGAGCAAGTTGGTGATCTAAAATTGCAGTGTGTTTACGGTGACCCTTCACGTGGTTGCCAAATACCAAATTTGACAAGTCAAAACCAAACTTCTAAAAGCGGTAACAGATTATCTCGCTTGACTGATAGAACAGAACATGGTGTTGTACATTGGGAAATGGAAATCTGTAAGCTTAATCGAGCTGGAGCAAACGGCGTACGATTTAGAAGAATTAGTGGATCAACATCTGATTTCAAACATATAGCAAATAAACTTGCCTCTGATTTAGAAATTTAATTGAAACGCATATATATATATATATATATATATATATATATAGGAATTATTGCATTTCTTTTCAAGTAGCTATCGTTCGGGTGATAATCAGCCCATTTGCTGTGTATGTTCCAGTTTTGTTTTGTATGTACATTTAATACTTTAATTTTTATGTAACTGTGTTCAGCTATCAATATAATTTGATTGCATGAATGATGATCACTCATTTTTTCTTTTGCCATCTCTTCCAAATCTATATATGATATATCAACCGCTTGATACTCTTCTCTTTTATTCTCAATCACTTGCAAACAATGAAGTTCATCTTGTGCCTGTATGTTGCAACACTGTTATATTGTATTCGCATTTTCTTTTCTCTTCTGTAACTGTGTGAGTTGATTCGGGATCCTATTGATTTAAAAATTCAAATTTATTGCTGATTGTATACCATAAATTATAAATGATCGTAAGGCAACTTTTTATCCTATATCATTTGGACTGTAGCATAGATTGTGAGCGTATATTTGTTTTAATGGTTAGCGGACAATTATTTCTTAAATGTTATACACTTTCATTTGGTTTATTGTAATTGTGTATTTTCTTCTAATTCACTTTACTATTCTATCTTTAGCGGAAATAATGGCAAGTAAAATTTAAAAAAAGACCATTTTAAGCTAAATAACATTTAAATTTATTGTAGAATCATGAAGAAGAATAATAATAATAATAGGAAGTAGATGACTTGTATCTTTAAATCAATTGTCAAGCCAGAAAAAAAAATGATATCTGATTTTCGTTAAATTTTTTTTTAGTTCATTTTCTTTTTCTCGTTATTCCTATTAATCGGTTCCTTTTTCTTGTTTCTTTTTGTGGGTTTATGCATGATATTTGCTTACTGGTTACTGAAGGGTTTTTATTGTTTTAACTTTTTAACTAGAATTGATCTTTTGTTTTTTTGTCTGTTCTTATATGCATACCTTTATCCACCTACATAATCATTTACAAATGAACGTAAATTACAGCAGATAAATTAGCTCATAATAATAATAATAATTTTGAAATCAACTTGATCTCAATTTTTCTAAATAAATGAAAAAATTGTTTTCAGTGATTGAATTATTGAAAATATGCTTTGTATTTATACTGTGCTGTTTTATATTTAGTGATTGAAGATTTGTAGAGGTTGGTACTTGCATTTCCTGTGATTAGTTGTCAGTAAATCAATGCTTATAGGAAAGAATACTGTGTTGAATGAAGGAAAAAGATAAATTTCAGAATTATGGTGCATTTAATAAAGTAGATTGTGGTTAGCAGGTGGATCTAGGGTGCGCGGTTTCATTCGACTTAGGTTTCATGTAGTTCATACCGAAACTTGAATTCTATGCGTTTTGCTTAAAATTCTAACTCATTATTCATTGAGTTCATATAACTGTTAACTTGTTCAACTGGTTTAACGGGTCCCAAATAGTACAGCATACATGACCTGAATGACACTGCTAGCCAAATACCTAGCTTAGCGAAAACGCTTTACAGAATAGTGATATCCAGTTAATGCGCTCAGGATCCACACATTCTACTAAAAGCGGGTCATTCTCGCTCCTCAATATCAACTTTGGGGAAGTGCGAACAGTTACGAGTAACAGTGGATTCCATCTGTATGTAAAGTTGCTTGCAATGACAAAAATGTTTATACGTTTCATAGATCACACGTCGTTAGCTGCTTTGAAATCATGTAAATACTATGGAATTAAGCTTTCTGGATTATATATTTAATTTTCGAAACCAAAGAATAAATCATTTGGAATATGTTTTCTTGTATAGATTCTCGATCAAATGCAGTGTGAAGAAATCCTAATCATCACTGAGCATAGTGTCTTGAATGACGCGGGAAATAATTGAACAAGAATCAAGGGTTAACTGGAAATTTAATTGGACCAATTTTTAGTGGTACTTCTTAGCTGCCTAAACTGATGTTGAAAGGTGTTCGACCTAGTGGTTTTGAGGGTGTACTAATTAACAGGAAAGTCGGAAGTTGATTTAAGAAAACGTACAAAAAATCAAACCCTGCGAAAGTGACTTTGCTATGTATAGTAGTAATCTTAGGCCATTTAGCAAATTACACTGAGGTAAAAATGAGACTTTTCCGAATGCATCGGTATGAGTTCACGGACACTTTAGAATAGAGTCCTTCACATATGGCCCATGTATACAGCTCCACAGCGGCAGCCAACCTGACGAAATTATGTCGAATTGGCCGCCACTGGTTGGTTGGATCATTAAATGAGGTGATGCACAATCCGGAAGCATTGAACGCTATTTAGAAATACCGGTTTTGTCGACGTAAAAAATATTATACCACTTTCGAAGCGAAATCTTGGTTATAAAGCTATCCTTCTGTTGCTGTCTTTATTTGTCTTCTTGTTTCAAACATGCAATTACTTTAATGAATTTAATCTGAGGTATCTTTATTGCGGTATCTCTTACCTTAGCTTCGATCCTTTTTTGTCTATACTATATTCAGGACATATACGTATTGATGAAGTGTGAAACTGTGATCAGTCCATGCTTATTTTCTAAATACATTCTTTTATATAAAAACACCATCCAATCTTTTGGGGGAGGACGACCAACCTGAGGCAGTTATTGAAAATTGTTCACTGAAGTATGCTCTTCTTTCAATAAATATCCTGTAGGTATGTTTGAAATGATCTAACGTTTTTATTCACGTTCCCAAAGAATATCGACACCAATACACTTTCCATCAGGTTTCACAAGATAATCTTTCGTACTATTAACAGCCGAAAAACACTCACTACATATAGCATGCAGAAGCTTAAGACAGGCGTCACTTTCGATAACTATACTACTCTCAAATAATTGCAGTTTTCCTGCGCTTTTGTTTGATTGTAAACAAGCTGCTTATCATTACTAAATAAGTTGACGTTGTGTTCGATATTTAGTCTACACTTAACATGCAATCACTCAATACACATGGTTCCTTGGGATGTCGAAAATTTCCAGCCCAACTAGATGACTTTCGCGAAGTTGCATTCTGAGCTGGTTGTTTAATCTTGATGATTCCGTTGTTCTTCACAACATTATCCACCTCCACTGAATCATAGATGAAGTCAATGGATTATATTTATGCTCTACTAAACTAATAGTGAGTGGTAACTTAAGTGACGCGTTAACAAACGTTCCAACTACTACCTACACTAAACGTTGATCTAGCCTTTCTTATGCCATACTGTGTAACTGTTATGTGAGAAACAGCCAATAGCCTTGATTCAAATCAATATATGATTAAGTCTAGTTACAAGAAGTTACTACTATATTGTTCATTCGTCCAAGTATGCTGCTGTTTTACACGCTGACCGCGGTTTAGACAAGGTGAAAGATGAGTTTTACAGAAAGCTTTCGGACCTCCTCCATAAAGTTAAGCGCTCTGATATAGTAATAATGGCTGGTGACTTTAATGCTCAAGTAGGTAGACTAAGTGAAAAGGAAAGACACCTGGGTGAATCTTAGGTTGTCGCAGTTCAGAGAACAGAAAATGGTGACCGTCAGTTGCAACTGTGATCAGATAACTGCCTATTTCTAGCAAACACTAAATTTGAGCATAAGGAAAAGCATCTCTTGACCTAGCGACCCCCAAAGTCGCCTCGACTCTGGATCCGACTACACCGCAATCAGTCACCCATGGAGGGATTCGACAGAGGACTGCCGCTCGTTCTGGGGCACATGGTTAGATTCAGATCGTGCTCTGGTTTGAGCACGTATTTGTTTGCGACTTATTGGACGTAGGAAAGATACCGCGATTAAACCCCTCAGGGTTCTACTAATTGATATCATAGCTAAGAATATATTTCAGCAGCAACTACAGAGAAGGTTAGGCAACCATGTGAGCGATTCCCGTACGGAATGAGCCTGGAACGATACTCAAAATGCTGTGGGAACAGCAATGATACCTGCTAGTAAGGTAAACCATGAGGCTAGGAAGACGCCGTGAATTTCAGTGATATCCATTGTAAATTCGTCCGACCTGGCTCTGAACAAGACGAAGAGCGAAGTCAGCTTAAGCGCGAGCTAATAAAAAACCTACGCAATGGTCGCGAACAGTGGTGAGTAGCGAAAGCAAGAGCGATGGAAAGGACAGCGGCGATAGGTAACAGCAGACAGTTGTTTCGACTTATCAAGGAAACCGGCATAAGAAACCCGTCTGTCAGCGAAACTTTCTCAGAAAAGGATGGCTACATCATTCATTATCAACCCAGAATACTTTAGGAATCAGTTCAACGGTCCCTAAACCAAACTTCGGTTGCCCACGATCTCCAGTCATCCTGAATGGCAAATCGACATAAGCCCTCTGACTCTTTATGAAGTTGAAAAAACTATAAAAAATTTGAAGCGTGTGTGCGATTCAGGGCCTGAGAGACTTACCCCTGAGATTTTTAAGGAATGGTGGCCCAGTTTTGCAACAAGATTGACTGAGATCTTGGGTAGAATCTAGAGCTGGTCCCAATCGCTGACGATCCGAAAAGTTTTCTCGTGACAATCACAGGGGAGTCAGTCTAACTAAGGTAGTTTCTTATTTGTTAGCCTCGATTATACTTATACGCCTAACTAGAGCTCGTGAAGAGCAGATTCAAGAAAGCCAGGCTAGTCCCAGACCTGGACGTATAGACCACATCCTCACACTACGTCAATTCCTTGAACACACCCACATTTAGGCGCCCGACAACAGTTGTCTTCCTGGACCCTAAGGCGGCATTTGACTCTGTGTATTGTGAGGTTCTGTGGCAGTGCCTGTCATTAAACGGTTTACGAAAGAAGTGCATGAACCTTACACAATCTCTCTACTCGGACAATACTGGTCGAGTGAGATTACGGCGAACTGTCATCAGAATTGATTACTTCAAGTGGTGTCCGTCGGGGCTGTTCACTTTTGTTTAACTTTGTCATAGATATGGTCTTCGTCTTAACTTTCAGGAGTGGATCTTCTACCAGGAGACACGCTTGTTGACTTAAAATATGCTGATGGTCGTATTCGGTTAAGATGCTGGTAAAATGCAGTCTTCTGATTACCCAAGGCAACAATGCAAGCATGTTTGGGATGTAATTTTCCCCCTCACAATGAAAAATGCTGCTTAAGGATTGGCTGGCATCGGCAGCTGAACTAGTTATAGGGAGTGAAGTAGTTGAGCGTGTAGACCGCTTCACTTATCTCGGTAGTCTGATCAGTGGTGATGGCCTGGTGTCTAGGGAAATCTGAATATGGGTAACGAAGGCTCGACTGGCCTTTGTCAACCTGCGTCACTTATGGCGTAGGCGAAATATCCGTCTGTTAACCAAAGGACGAGTCTACTGTGCAATAGTTCGCTCGGTCCTACTATATGGATGCGAAACATGTCCGGTGAAAGTAGAGGACATTCTCAGGTTATTAGTATTCGAAGCATTGCTCGTATATCCTGGGATAACCGAGCAAGCAACGCCATAGTTAGGAAACGAATTCTAAGTAGGGATGGAAACTTCATCAGTTGAGGTGGTTGGGACATGTATTACATATGCCTAACAACCGACAGCCTCGACGAGCTATGTTATCTCACTGAATTATACTTCTCGAATCATATCTTCGAACCCTAATCTTCTCCATTACTGCTAATACTTCTACTATCTCTACCAGAAGTTCTACGTTGTAACTGACTGACTGACTGACTGAAATACGGATAAATATCCTTCAGAAAATAAGGCCAATGATAGCATATTTGTTTACGCAGAATTTTCGGCCAAATCTCGATTAGTAGAGTGAGCCTTACCATTACATCTGGTTTTCAGTGGCCCGGTATATCAGTCTTTGAAATTTCCTGAAGCTAAAAGTAGTTAAATCTGATCCAGGAAACCATGAATTTGATACCACAAATCAAATAAACGACTAAGAAATTTAAAATAATAATCTTATCTTTATTTTGACGTAATCAAGTATTAAGAAATCTTATTCGTCTATAGATTGCATTAATTCTGTACACTCTGTGCTCGAAACATTACATTGTGTATTGGGTATCCATGTAGCGAAAGTTATATAACCCGTATGACCCGGCATTTTAGGCTAAAAAGTGTAAAATAATATATGACTAGTGAATTATTATGGAACTATGAGCATTAAAACAAATAATGTAGAAAATAGTAACCATTACGGGACTAAGTACATTCTGTCAAAATTAGTGAATAATATGTACTTATGAATATTATTATTAACATAAAATTAGAGTGTATATATTACGGACAGACCTATTGATACTAGTGAATTACAACTAAAATCATCACTAGCAGTCAACAATTAGACAGCACATATTGGCCAAGAATTAGAAACGGTGGTTTAGATGTAATTAACCGATTCTGCATTCTGACAGTTTTTATATTGAGAAGAAAACTAGATTATTGTAAGCAAAACACTTAAGTTATTACAATTTGAAACAATTTTCGAAAATTTGAGAGCTAAGCAAATGAAACAACAGCCTACTAGGGCTCGAATCAGAGGAGAGGTTCACTTTATCATGTCAAGTTAAATTGTGAATATTATTCTCTTAATCAACTTGAATACCTATTTTCTATAGAGATCTGTATGAAATTCAATCAGGTCATTAAGTCAATTATATCATTTTACGAGAAACCTGTGTTTAGGTTGCATTTTGTTTACAAAGTACAGATTCATGCAGTGGGTTTTGAGCAACATTTGTTTGACTAGTGGTACTACCTGATCACTTAAATCGAAGATGATGGAATGTTCATTTGATGGGGTGTAACATTTTCTGATCTTGAAACGATTCGATTTAAACTTAGAGCAAGACTGAACTAATATTATACCTAATTTAACTGGCAAGAATACTAAACTATACTTTTCATTGAAATAAATTACTTCACCTGTTAGATAGGCATTTAGGTAGTGAAATACTATTTATAAAATGTTAGACATTTTAACTCACTCGTAAAATTGGTTCCCAAGTGAAGTTATTTTCAACGGTCGTTGAACTTTCCACGCCTTTCAGTTGTTTGGGATTCATTGACTCACTTGGTTCTGAATTTGGATAACTACGTTTACAAGGAAGAATTTCCGTTTCCGATTTTTTAGGAGGAGGAAGCAGATGTTTATCGAATTTCGAAACTGAACTCATATATTCATTGAAACCATTCTGGAGCCAAATGGAAGCATTTCCCTGCCCTATAATTAATCGATGATGGTAGTTAGATTATAAATTTAACATAAAACTGAAACAGTCATGAACTAATAAAAATTATGTTAGAACAAGATTTCTATTATTTGACACTACGACGTAACAGATGAAAAATTCCCTATATCTATCTAGTATAATAAGAAATCGGCAGTTGAGTAGCTTCTAAATCAAATTAAAGTGAGAAATAAAGGGTTATAATGTAACATGATGTCAAATCTATGGTAAAAATTGTATTCGATATGAAGTTCACACAATTAAAGTGACTTCATCAAGTCTTGTAGGGAGGTGTGAATTTCCTAGTATCGAGATAGCGGATATCCTGGATGCTATTGTTTAAAACCAATCACAACGTCAGTCAGTTGCAACGTAGAACTTCGTACGTATGTACATAAGTTCACGTTGCCATACCACATTAGCACAGAGACGCAAATGTCAAGTTCAAATCCAAGAGTGATAGCAATAATAGAAGGTATTAGCAGCAATGGAGAAGATTAGGGTTCGAATATATTATTCAAGAAGTATAATTCAGTGAGATAAGGTTAGAAAGACAAAGGTAGAGGTGCTGACGATTCCAGAAGATTAGGATTTGAGAGAGCACAACGAATGCATGCACTTGCGCCATTGCAAACGATTCTGAGCCATGTCGTTCACGACGGCACAGAAACATTCACTATTTACCTTTATTTAAATCTTGCAAAGACTGTTACCAATTTTTCTGTTGGACTCATGTCATTCTTATTTTAATTTCATGCTATTTTCGTCCATTTATAAAGTGTGAAAATTTAAAATGATGCACTTTCTAGGTTGAACTTAATACACTAAACTATTTTCAGTCTGAAACTAGGCTGTACAAGCAGCCAATTTAACTGGCTTAAATTATCACAGTTTTGCGACATTTGAAAAATTAAAAATATGAACTGGTCAAACGCTTCATGCTACTGAACTACATGTGTAAATAATTGTGCATGTATATATTAGAAAATCAATTTATTTCCTAGCCAATGATATACACCTGTTCTTTAGGACATGCCGGATTGGTATCAGGCGACTTTGTTATTTGACTAGTTCTGATTGGTTTAGTACATTAAGAGATGTGTCATCTTTAACTTTGCCTAAGGTTAACAATGAACTGTATCTATAAGGTACTTATTAAAAAGCCTCCTCCCTGATAATAAGTTTATGTACAAATGATTACCCATATTTGGAACATTCAACGTTGTTCGCGACACATCATATTCCCTTTCCAAGCATTCGACTGTACTTATATGTTCGAAACCTGATTCTAGTAAAGCTGTACAGGATCGCTGAACTTGTTCGATGCAAGGTGAGAATAAGCAGACACGGCCAACTGAAAAACAAAGACGATGATAAGGAAAATCAAGTTATGTCAGCTATGCTGTTAACTGAAGTTATATTAAAAACAGGATACTATCAAAAATGACAAAATTAGTCACAGATCAAATAGAGGGATCCAAATCCATACTACTTAATAAAATATATTACAGTGAAACAACCTGAATCAAGGTGAATTTTCATTATAAAGAAAAGATCTTCCATAGATCTTCGTTTCTATCTTGATTTCAGTTTGTCGATGTTGTTGCTTTATTGTACGATAATTCAGTTTCTGACCAACGAGAGGATCTAAAGTGAAATTTTGTCGGTGATAAAATTGGTTCATTTACCTATCACATTCTTTTGGAGATCGAAATTCCGGATTAACGTAGGTATAAACCCTCAGATTAAAAAGTAACCGGTATGCACCACTTTAGTGCCTATTGAATAATCCCAGTGTAGACGAAAATTTGAAATCTCGTTCTTTATTTGAACATTATAAACTTTACAAACTCCTCCTAAATGTAACTAGTCTCATTGTCAATGTGTCCATCATTTCTGTACCTGTAGAGAATTAATCAATTTCATTCTCCTAAATTTAATCAATACCTAAATATAATATAGTAAAACTGACAGACATGAAGAGTACCACTTGGTTTGATGAACCATACAGACATTTCATCATAATAAGTTAGGATTTGGTTGCTTTTGTTTCTTAACAAATTTGATTTCTTATTATACAGTAATTAAAAATAATATTTTCTAAACAAACTCGATGTCTAATCATACTTTCAATAATTCTTTATATTCTAAAAATATCTTCTACTACGTGTCTAGAACACTTAGAATGCTAGCATTTGTAACTAACATGGCATGTTCAGTGCCGTCTGGAACACAACAAGAGCTTTGAAAATAACATGTGTCAACTAGGTTTGAAAGCTGACATATTTTCCACGCGATTTACATAACCACAGTACAATGTCATACGGCTCTAGCACTACCTTGTAAGTGTTCAAGCTGTTATACTTCACATGAGTATGGCAACTTGAAATGAAGACAATGACGCCAATAGAAACATAGAAACAAAAAAGAAGCGGAATGTGTGAAAAGTAAGTGAATTATGTAAACGAAGATGAAAAAATAAACTCCTCTGCAAATAATTGTAGGCAACACTTTCCATAAATCTTTCTTTGAATGTCTCACATTAGTAACTAATGACTATCTGTTCTTGTTGAACAATGTAAGCTGCTAAATTTTTCCATTTAGATCTCACCACACAATTGGAGTCTATTGTTAATGTGACTAAGCAACTAAGTGCAAACTCATATGCTCTGCGTCGGATCAATTTTTTGTGGTGCTTCTTAGCTGCCTAAACTGTGAAAGGTGTTCGACCTAGTGGTTTGAAGGTGAACCAATTAACAGAAAGCCTGGAGTTTTTAATAAGATCAAAAAAATTTCTGAGTTCCGAGAAGACATTTTCTGATGGATGAGAGGGAGAAAACCCTTAAATGCCCTGGTGCGACTGGTATTGGGGAAAGTATGCTGTCTTATATGGCTCGGCGCATTAAGCCAAAATCAGAAAAGTTTTATTCACGACTTTCTCTTGGCAAGGGTGTTGTTTACGAATATGAGTGAATGGATAGCTAGTGTACAGCGCTTCAACCAGGTCGCTTGCTAGGGAGGATTTGCCTACGGGGGTTGGAGAACCCTAACTTGAAACCGTTGGTGTACATGAGCTCCAGAATTCTGACGGAAATTATTGTTGGTCACCAGTTACCACAGGTTTGCATCTCAGATATTTAAGTCAAAGGTTACGGGGTGGCCCTTAAAAGAATTAAGTGCTTTAGTTGTGGCATCTAGGCCGTATCGCAGCCCAATCACAAATGAACTAATTTTTGTACTTACTTACGCCTGTTACCCCCATTGGAGCATAGGCTGCCCACCAGTTTTCTCCAACCAACTCTGTTCTGGGCTTCCCTTTCCAGTTCTGTCCAATTTTTGTTCATTCTTCTCATGTTTTTCCCTGTTTCTCGGCTTAATGTGTTTCTTGGCCTTCCTCTTTTCCTTTTTCCTTGAGTGTTCCAAGTGACGGCTTGTCTTGTGACGCAGTTAGGTGCTTTTCGTAGAGTGTGTCCTATCCACTTCCACCTCTTCTTCCTGATTTCCTCCTACACTGGAATCGGGTTTGTTCTCTCCCACAGTACGTTGCTGCTGATCATGTCTGGCCAACGAATCCGAAGTATTTTGCGAAGACAACTGTTAAGGAATACTTATATCTTCTGGACGATGGCTTTCGTAGTTCTCCATCTGCATCGGATCCACCTTGGTTGTCGATGATGCTGCCAAGATATGTAAAGGCGTTAAAGTCCTCCAAAGAATCTCCATCAAGAGTTATTTGGTTAGCATATGTTGTGTTGTATTGCAGAATCTTACTTTTCCCTTTATGTATGTTGAGACCTGCTTCTGCTGAGGCCGCTGCTACACCGTTGTTGCGTGTGCGATAGAAGAGCCAGATCATCGGCGAAGTCCAGCTGCATCCTAGCTGCCCTCTCCTATTCAACATGACCTCCTGATATGTTGAATCGATTGCCTTTTTGATCCCATTCCAATTATTATCCATGGTTGTTTACTCTCCATTGAGTATATTGGGGACTATCTTGAATTTTTCGAGTTTTACGGTATCTCGAAAGAAGGCCGTATTAGACTTCTGTGATGTCTGCCCTGTTGTCCAGTGCTTCTTTAGTTTCAGTTTTATTTTGGCGATCAGTAAGTGGTGATCTGAGGCTATGTCAGCTCCTCTCTTGGTTCTCACATCCTCCATGGTCCTTCTGAACTTTTTATTGATACAGATATAGTCGCTTTGGTTCTGAGTAGTGTGGTCCGGTGAAATCTATGTAGCTTTGTGTACGTGTTTATGTGAGAATATGGTGCCGCCTATGACCAGTTTGTTGAAGGCACATAGGTTTGCAAATCTCTCACCGTTTTCGTTCCTTTCTCCCAGTCCATGTCGTCCCATGATGTCTTCATATCCAGTGTTGTCCATGCCAACCTTGGCATTTAGGTCTCTCATTAAAATCGTCAAGTCCTTTGGTGAGCGTCTGTCGACGATCGACTGCAGCCTTTCGTAGAAGTGATCTCTATCGTCGTCATTGTAGTCATTGGTAGGTACATAAGATTGGATGACGTTCATCGTAATGTCCTCTTTCTTTGTTTTGAAGGATCCTGAGTCCATGAGATTCCCATCCTATCAGTGCCTTTTGTGCTTGTTTGGACAGCATAAGTGCAACTTCCTGTGTATGTAAAGCGTTTTCCTCTTCATGACCAGAGTATGACAGTGGTTCCCCTGAAGCTAGTCTCAGTCCTACCTGCGTCCAATGCGTTTCACTGATTCCAAGCACCTCAAGGTTGTATCTTTTCAGTTCTGCAGCAACTTGAAATAGTCCTCTAGTCTCCCACAATGTTCGAACGTTCTATGTACCTAAAAGAATGGTTGCTCTGGTTTTCAGAAAAGACATCGACCTCGTGACTTCCGAGAGAACTCGGCTTTTATCACGAGACTACATAATTCTTCTTCCAACTCCTAAGGCAGAGTTAAAATGGTTTGAATTATTTGTTCTGGTTAGCGTTTTTTAGCGAGTTGATTTTTTGGTGGGATGGGGTCGCCAACCCCATGCTCAACCCTCTTCCTTTATCCGGAACTAATTTTTGTGGTGCATGAATATTTATGTTCCCTATGTGCACCAGTGTTTGTATTGAAATATATAAGATTATTTGTAGAAATTTTCCCGTACATGAAGAAAGTGGGGTTTCCGCCATTTTCTTAAAACGAAACGATTATCCGACTACAAAACGAAAATCAAATTTATGGTAAAATGAAGCAGTCGATTCGACATCTCATGTAAGATAGATTCTGAAGGCATACAGAAGAGGTTAAATGTACTCAAAGAGCGATTCGTGGGGACGTTGACTAATTTTGTGAACTGTGTGCAAAAACCACGGTTTCTAGTTGAGCTTCTTGAGTTAAGTAGATGTAATAGTTGAAGAAATCACTTAATCGATCAGCAAAAATATTCACTTATGAACTTTTGTAAATCCTAAACCTTTTACAAATTACTAGGTTTACGTTTTTTTAAGAATATCCTTTACTTGCTATTCTTGTTGATTACATGTTGACACGTTTGTTTATTTTCCTAGAAAGTAATAATACTCTGCTGTTACAGATTTTTAGTTCACTGAATTAAAATTCACCAAGCTGTCTATCGGAAATGAGACACGTGTATATTGGATTTAGAAGGTTCAATCACCTGAATTTTCAGGGACGCAGAAAACAATATGCAATAGCAACATTTAAATCGGATATGAATCATGAGAGTGTGGACAGGCTATGAACTAACTGGGTTGTCCACCTAGCCAGTATCAAAACCAACATTTCGTTGCTACAACCGTGGTAAACTAGTTAGAAGTGAACTGAATAAACCGCTGGGTTACAGCCATGCATGAAAAGAGGAAAGAATTATTGAAACATATTTTGTGCAATATTTTTAGATGTTCGATAAAAAATTACACACGGTTTACTTGAATCAGGCCGGAAAGTAAATACAAGATGTGGAATAACCACCCATGGTCTTGGCAAATCCAGAATAACAGCATCTACACCATTTGGATTTAATTCATTTCCAACCGATGGAAAATATTCATTACAAACATCACGGTTACTAACCTTCACAACATGTCCAAGTGAATGTGACTAGATAAATAAAGGGATCGAATAGAAAGTTGTGATGAGTATTTTTGAAAAATTATTATCCCAATTTCCCGCAAAACTTCTAAAATGAGGAGCGTGAAAGCAAAGTATGCAGAAGAGACTGATGGGTACGCTAATTCATGGGTCGTTCATCAGTATTGATTTATGCTTCGAACTTTCTTGCATTTATCACTCAATGTAATAAATTTCTACTTACTTCAAACAAATATAAAGCTAAATAGTACATAGAAGTGCATGACATAATTCGAAAGAGTAAAGTAACTTAAACAATAAACTCGAGAGAAGTGGCTCACACTGAGTCACAAAATGTCAGAAAATTCTAACTTTTCTGCTCACTGGAATATTGCAAATATAGTATTTTTATTATTAACAATCTATTGGATGCTCAATTTATTTGAAATTATCAACTCAAACTTTGGTAATGATGGCTGTATTATAATGAATAAATCAGTTCCAATATGTATTATTTGGGATTTCTCAGTTTCTGATGTTTTCTGTTATAGCTGCCTTATAACAAAGAGACTGAACGTTTTCTTTGTAAGTAATTGTAATGTTTAAATTAACAGACTCCAGGATAAATACCGATACGGACAGCTCCTACCTTATCAAAATATACTAATCCATTTTAAGTTGCATAAAATAGAAAACAAAACTCACAGTGAATTCTTTAGTCGCCAATTCAACACGTTCACTATGAAAATCGAACGTATGGACATGACCATGGGGTAATACAGCTTGAGCTAAGAAGTGTGTCAAAGATCCGCTACCTGTCCCAGCTTCGAACACCCACTTGCCAGGGTTCAAATCTAATCCCCCGACAATTAAACTAGCATCACATGGATAGATTATTTGGGTTCGATGAGGCAGTGTTTCTGACCATAGCGCTGGACTTAATGCTAATATGTGCACATATCCACGAGACGTTTGAATCTAAAAACTCGAGAATAAGTCCAGTGATAACTATGACAATTGGTGACAAGAATTCTAATGCTCAAATTCGAAAACTGAAAGGAACACAACAAGCAACAAATATAGAAATAAAATGAAGGAAACTAATCATGATTACCAAAAACTGGCGAAACTGTATGAAACTAATCGGAATACAACTAGGTAGCACGTCGTAAACAATACCAGAAACTGAGTGTGCCGTTACGGCGGCCTTGAAGAGCAATGTTTTGTGGGGTAGGGGTAGGCTGGAAGAAAGATAGGGTCAACCAGAAAATAACATGGCACAAATCTTTAAAGTCACTGAGCCATGTCGTTAGGTGTAGACTACCTGGTTGAGGTCCGCAAGACAATAATAACCTATAGTTAGATACCTTGAATGACATGGCTGAAAATCGTTTGCAGTGACGTAGGTGCATCCATTCTTTGTGTTCTCTCGAATTCTTATCTTCAGAATTCCTCATCATCTCTTTCTCTTTTCAGATTTATCTCAATGAATTACACTTCTCGAATCATATCTTCGAACCCTAATCTTCTCTATTACCCCGAATACTTCTACCACATTTACCACTATGGGGTTTGAACTGACAATTGTATCTGTGTGCTAATGTGGTATGGCGACCTGAACTGATGTACGTACGTACCAAGCTCTACTTTTCAGCTGACAGACTGACCAAAAACTGAGACGCTTCTTAAGAAGAAATGTTGTCAGGTGAAACTGAAAAAAAGTAATGGTCTGAGGGTTATGTCTTTCCTCTATATGATGAATCACCTACCTCATAGGGAGAACCAGTTTAGTCAAGAAAAATCAACGTTTAAATCACATTAGTATGCAGTAAACATCTTAGAAGCAATAATTTAACGGCGTTTTGGTCCTTTTGACTGCTCTAAAACGGTGAAATGACAGACTAGCGCATTCGCAATGATAAACGAAGAGTAGTCTCACAGAACTATGAAGAAATCGTACTTCATTGGAAAAGGTGTGGGAAGTTGGCGTATGACTTGATGTATATACTTATTTTATTTGGTGATGTAACCAACGGGAATGTTTGAATAAAAATAGCTATGACTCCAAGAAAACGAGGTTGAATTTGTGAAATCATTATGTCGCTTAGATATTGATCAGTCAGCCAGTGACAACGTAGAACTTCGTACGTTCAAGTTGCCATACCACGATGGCACAGAGATGCGATTATCGATTCAAATCCCATAGTGGTAGAGGTAGTAGAAGTATGGGCGGAAATCGATAAGATTAGTGTTTGGAGATGTGATTCCAGGAGTCTAATCTAGTGAAATATATTTGAGACGAGAAAGATGAAGGTCATGAGGAATTCAGATTAGAATTTAGGAGAAGACAAAAAGTGGATGCACCTGCACATCGCAAATGATTTTGAGCCATGTTATTCGGTCCCTAACCATCGATTACTATCATCTCGCGGACCCCGATTAAGTAGTATAGAAATACTACTATGGCTCAGTCCACTTGTCAGTGACTTCATGGATTAATGCCATGTTTTCTTCTGATCGCCCCTAGCTTTCTTCCAACTTAGTCCTACACCATAAAACAGCTCGAAGAGGCAGTCACTGGTTGGGCATTCGTAACACATGTCCCAACCACATCAACTGAAGTTTAAATACTTCATCTATTGGTCTATCATACCTACCTAATACTCGTTTCCTAACTACAGCATTGCTTATTCGGTTGTCCCAGGATATACAAGTAATGCTCCGAAGACATCTATAATCGAAAACCAGTAACCTACGAATATCTCCTACTCTTACTGGCCATGTTTCACAGGACGGAGAGAACTACTGCGCAGTAGACTAGTCCTTTGGTTAGCAGACAGATATGTCGCCGTTGCCATAAGTGACACAGGTTGACAAAGGCCAGTTGAGCCTTCGTTACCCGTATTCTGATTTCCCTAGACACCAGGCCATCACCACTGATCAGACTACCAAGATAAGTGAAGCGGTCTACACGCTCAACTACTTCACTCTCTATAACTAGTTCCGCTGCCGATGCCAGCCAATCCTTAAGCAGCATTTTTCATTGTGAGGGGGAAAATCACATCCCAAACATGCTTGCATTATTGCTTAGAGTAGTCACAAGACTGCATTTTGTCAGCGTCTTCAACAAGTAGAACTATGTCATCGGTATATTCCAAGTCAACAAGCAAGTCTCCTGGTAGAAGGTCAACTTCTGAAAAGTCAGACGAAGATAATGTCATCTCTAAATACATACCTACGACACAGTTAAACAATAGAGAAAGTGGACACCACTTGAAGTAAACAATTCCGTTGACAGTTCACCATAAGCTCTCACTCGACCAGTATTGTTCGAGTAGAGAGCTTGTATAAGGTTAATGTACTTCTTAGGTACACCTTGTAATAACAGACACTGCCACAGAACCTCACGATCGACAGAGTCAAATGCCGCTTTAGGGTCGAGAAATACTACTATTGTGGGGCGCCTGAACGAGTGTCTATGTTCTAGGACCGGACGTACTATGAATATCTGGTCTATACAGCCACGTTCAGGTCTAGACCCACATTGGTTTTCTCAAGTCTGCTCTTCATGAGCTCTTATTAGGCGTCGGAATATTACTGAAGCCAGTATATCAGACATCATGTTAACCAAAGTGATTCCTCTGTTTGACTGTTTCGTATATGTAACATAATATTTCTGGTTCAATTACAGAGAACTCTACTTTGATCGATAAGTCGTAGATTAAAACGCAATTTTACGTAGTCTAGTTTGAACATCTGGGTAGCAGTCGAAAAACGTGAATCAAAGCCGGCTGCGTAAACCTCTGCATTATGAGCCGAAATGTAACTATGTCGTTCCTTCTTGCATTGATTTGTGTTCAGAAGAAATCATTATTTTGTACAGAAATTTCATCCTGAACACTTACCAAGACTATTGGAAAGATTATAAGTGGTCAAATAAAAATGAGTTAGTACACATACCTTTGATCCATACTTTTTTCCTGCACAATCATCATGTTTCATTGCTCCAAAACGTGTCTGCAACACATCACCCTTCTTGAGTATTGTAGTTAGATTCTTGAATTTCCCCAAATCAATTATAACGCAATCTCCGTATTGAGCTACATCTTTCTGAAATGCATCGGGAGACATACCAAATCCGAATTGCCGCTGGTTTTGGAGTTAAGAAAAAATAAGTCCGTAAACTTACAACCTTATTAACAGATGAATCAGAGAGATGATAGTTAGTCACTTATACTGAAGCAAGTAAAAAACTTGGTAATTTAAAATTGAAACCACTAGCAATCACTTTGCGAATCAGCATTGGGCTACAGGTTTGAAATTTGCTCTACTCATTTATAAGCAGACAAACCATCTTACAATATTTAATAACATGGTCAACTGATTTGTACGGACCAGTTTAAAAATAGTATATTTCTGATACTAAGAGCCGTTTATTGTAGACAGTCTGCCACCAAACTCACTCCCATTATTTTATGTTGAGCTGCGATTTGATAATTGAAATGCAAGACCGTTGATTGTAAGGCCACATATGTGAACACCATTATATCATTTACCGACACTCCTAAACCTCTAAAAGACATGGAAAAAATACTAGAGAATAAGTTAGCCGATAGCAATACTTTCAGCAAGGTCTGCCCATAATTGATCTCAACGATACACTGACCTCCCCAAAATGTTTTGCTTAATACAAAGAAATACTAAGAGCTGAAGCTCAACAGGCATGGACAAATTCAAACAGTATGATTAAAAGAGATGGAATACAAGTAGTTGTTTCATGGTAACTATTAGTTATAAAACAAACCCAAACTAGTTATTACATCTTACTACTTACTTCAAATTCTTTACCATTATTCTGGCTCACTCCACATTGATAAACGTTACAACTCGTTCTTAATTACTGTGATAACTAATATGAACACTTTTTCATACAATTCATTTAGCTTTGTTAGCCAGTACTGGTTTTATCTACTGATTTCTCATATTTGTCTGCCCAACTACAAACAAACGGTTAGACACTTCTGTGGTCATAATATTCAATCCTTTTTCTGTCCTTCATTTCCTATTTTGTCTCTTTAAAGTATCTTATTCACAGTAAACAACCATGACGCAGTTCCTCAAGCCGGACAAACGTACCTTAATTACGAGCACGTCAACGCCACAGTCTATACCAAGCGCCTTTCAATTCAATATCCAATATCTTTTTCACGAGATAGCGTACACCAATTTGATTTCTTCGCGCTCGATTCTTGTTCTTTCGGTACGGTTCTAGGTGTTCGGTAATGTCCAATGGATAGAGGTCTAGCCACTCGACTGTCTAATTCTAGTCAGTTGGCAGTTGGTTGTGAGTTTGTATGTCTCGAGGTTCGAAGAAAACGTTTGTTTCAGGATATCGGCAGCCGTCACATTACCAGAACGGAGATTAGTTAGTTGCAATAAGAAGAGTAATAAGGGTAATAAGGATAAAATTCTAATGCTAATATGAATAAGATTTCAGAACTGAGTAATATACAGATGAATTTTGTTTGTTAATTGGTAGTGAAGATTGTGAGAGAGGACCGAAGTGTAAGCTAGGGAGAGGAAACAGAGATAATAGGCGAGATAGATTAATTGAGTGATCTGGGGAGATGACAATGGTAGCGACTAGCAGGTCTCGAGATAGGCATCATGAAGAGCTTGTCCAAGAGGGCGATGATAGTCCGTATGTGAATACGTGATTATCAAGTCTCTTCTTAAAGCAGTCCACTGAGGGGGCTGTAACTACTTCGGCTGGGAGAGCATTCCAATTTGCGCAAACTTGCAAAGAAAAAAGTGTGCATGAATCTGAGTATTCGCTCTTTGATGTGCAATCTTTCGAGGATTGCCTCGAGCGGAGTGGTGGTGATGCATCGGTAAGATGCTCACATTCGGATGGTTTGGCGTGTTTGATATGGTGTACGCCATAATCAGATCGCCTCTGATTCTCCTGTAGCTCAGTGGGAATAATCCCAAGAGCTGGAATCTATCATCGTAGGGTTTATTTTTCAACCCTATCACCCATTTGGTTGCTCGTCTCTGCACTCGATCCAAGAGATTTATGTCTCTTTTAAGCAGACGGTGTGCGATGACGTCGTGAACCTCCAAGCGTGAGCGCCCGCACGTCTTAAACAGGGTTAAAAATAATTTCGAGGTGATAACATCAAGCTGTCTTCGCGTATAATGAAGAGTCGCATTTGCCTTGGATACATCCCCTATATTGTTTGGACTCGTGTGGAGGCATTCTGTGGTTATTAAACCAAGATCGCACTCTGAGGAGACATTAGGGAGCGGGCTTCTATTGAGAGTATATGTCGTTTGCGTCATATGAGGCAGGAAATGCATAACGTGGCACTTCGGTTGGTTCAATTTTAAATCGTTTTTCACTGCCCCTTTGTTAATAGATGTACGGTCCTTTTGAAGCTCAGTCGAGTCCTCTTCGCTTCTAATAGACCTCCAGATCTTCGCATCGTCTGCATAGATCAGTGCCGATGAGCTAACTAAGCCTAACAGGTCGTTAATAAATATCAGGGAGAGAAGTGGGCCTAGGATGGTCCCTTGTGAAACTCCCGATGTGGAAACTCGCCAGCTCGCGTGCACTCTGTTTACCTTAGTGCGAAACTTTCTATTCTCAAGGTAGTTTCTGAACCAAGATACGAGTGAGTATGTAAAGCACATTTCCACAACCTTTTCAACTAGGCGTGCGTGGGGTACTGTGTCAAAGGCTTTTGCAAAGTCCAGAAATATTACTTGCACCGGTATTTTACGGTCCAAACAGGATGTCCCACTGCCCATGCTATGAGAAGATTAGATGCACACCACCTGCCTATCCGAAACCCGTGTTGAGCTTTTTGGAGTATTTTATTCTTTTCCATGTACTCCCTCATTTGTTCGTCCACTAGTCCTTCCACAACCTTTGATAATATTGGTAGTAGTGCGACTGGTCTGTAACAGGATGGGTTCTTCCTATCTCCCCCTTTGAAGAATGTTTCCATTCAGCTGTGAGTTAGTGTGACCCCAGTGAATGCCTGAACAGGTCACATATCGGTGAGCAGAGGACTTCTGCACATTGTTGCAAGACTATGGTGCGGATTTTGTCACAACCTGGTGACTTACTTAGGATTTTAGTTTCCTTATTACTAAGTCAGAAGTGATACGGATGTACTCTGATCCGTCAGCTGACAATGGGTTGGCAAACACTCTGAACATATAGGCACATGGTTTAACTGATCAGAAAAATTTGTGTTGAAGATCTCGGCCATCTCTAGATTAGTGAGGTCTTCCCCGTTTGGTCCTTTGAGAGAACACAACTCTTGATTAGTAGGTTTTCTTTTGGACATGAACCTAACAGATGCTTCGGGTTCGCCTCTATTTTGTCGGCTAGCTTCATCTGAAATTGTCTCCTGTCGCTTCGAACTTTGGTATTGCATCATAAACTTACCAGTCTACTGAACATATGTAGCTGCGTGACTATGACCGATTTTGAGCGATCCAGAATGGCTGCCGCTTTATTTTTGAAAGGTGAGTAATTTTAGCTCGAGAAATTCGAGGGAATCGGTTCCCCTTTTGACTTTTCTGTATTTTTACAGTAATGCCACATTATCGGAGTTGCTAAAAGGCAAGGTCTAGATGTTGAAGATATTAATCTCCGCCCCGAATTGTGATTGGAAAGTTATCTACTTAAAGGTGCACAATTTCGAGATCTCTGAAAATTTTGAGCAGAATTTCTTGGACCGAAGGGCATACGCGAAAATTCATTGAGTCCAAATTGATTGAAGATAGTTAGTTTAGGAATGTCTTTCTCAGCCATAGGCATTTGGTTATAGCCTCTCACGAAGTCGACCATAGAAAATAGTTGTACCTTTAAAGGTAGCTATGGAGTCGTGACGGTGAGGTGATAGGTAATCATCGCGTGTAATTTTCGTGTTCAATAGTCTATTATCTCCGTTCGGATGCCAACCACTTCTGTCCTTTTCGGTGACCATATACAACAAAGACGGTTATGGACTTTTAGACGATAGGGTAACCCCTGAATCTATCATGCGGTCGAGTCCCTCTACGACAAGTCTTAGTTTCTCATCCCGCTTTTGAAAACGCAGGTGTTTAACCGTGATTGGACATGACTTTCAAACTAAGAGTGAAATTCCACAAACAGATAGTTTAGTACTACGGTCTACTTGAATTGGTCAATAGGTCATGATGCATTAGGTCTTTACCAATGATTGGTATTGACATATCAGGCACAACCAAAGTCGGTTAAATGTTTTTACGTAAACCCACGTTAAATAAAAAAAATTTTGCAAATGGGTGGCGACCAGTTTTGCCTTGACTGTTATAGATAGGAGCCCAAGATGGCAGACTTTTATCACCTCATCAGTAGCTGGAAGGAGATGGACTTGCCCACTGGCAGCTGTGGTCTTTAATGCTTGCTAGTGGAAGGATTTATTGTAGTGTTTGTGACGGATGATTCGGATTTGCATCAGCGTTTCGAAAATTAGCCATAAATAAATTGGTAACGAAACGAAGTCCAGTTTTCTGTTCCTCGAGATCCAGAAAAATATCTTTTCGGAAATGCTCTTCTTCGAATAGTTTTCGACCGTTCTCAGTCGTGAGGGGAATTTAAAAGGCGCGTTTTTGAAATGTAGAGGTCTTTAATTTCGCTTCCGGTCGGTTGTGGTAGTTGTTCAACAAAATAGGCCTTAGAGTTTGGAGCCCTGTCGACTTTCGGAATCCGATCAGCAAATGTGACGAGTTCGTTCACGACATTATTTCGAAATGAGTGGCATACACCTTGCACTTGATGAGAAATTTCAAATAGAAGATGCAAAAAATGGCTCCATCAATTTTCGTTGGCCAGTGGCCACTCTCATACTCAGCGTTATTTCTGTCACCTAGGTGTGCTGTAGTTCGATGTTGTGGAAATGTTAGTATGACCTTTATTGATCAACTAGGTTAAGATGTTAGAAAATCGCTTTTTAATGTGTCGTAGAGCCGAAAAAATATTACTAATAATAATGATAATAATTTATTCTCAAATAACTACGTTACAAGAGTCACGCCAGTTTACAGGCTAGATCAAATTGTCACAAATGCTTCCACAATTACTGTCAATCGATCCAGTGAATAGAGTAACCTGTCTATTTCAAATAAAAACTAAAGAGATTTATATTCAACTAGAAAAATTAGTGCTACTTGGGAGTGTAAAAATAACTAAATAAGACGCAGCACTGAGTTCATTGTGTTTAAAGTGTATGCAGAGCTATTAATATGAAGGCAGGGTGCGAGTGAGTTCACGAGCGCCGAAGAGTCAGTGAAACTGAGAGCATCATTAAGAAGTTGAACAAACATGCAAGGTTTAATATAACTGGTTAAATCACTTGGTTATGCCTTTAATATTGTGAGGAATCACTCGAGGATGTCTTTCACACTGAGCTCGGAGTAAGCTTCTGCATAATAGAATTGGGCTTCGATTACTTCAGGCTAGAATGACGTAAGCTGGATGATTTTTGATGTATGTATCTTTATCCTGAAAAGGTTAAGTGTGCTTTCGTGTATGATAATATTATCGATAACGATATCCAGAGCTGGACAACGCTTTCTTCTCTACCACCTTTCAGATGGAGGATACCCAGAGCTAAGTCAAACCAGAAGTCAGGAATGCGGAGGATAGACGGTATAAATGATAGACAGTCAGAATGCTGAGGAGTGAACTTAGCTTGCTGTAAGATGCCGAGAGAAGCGTTGCATGGGTTGAATGTGTGACTGTGAGCCTTCTGCAAGGGTGTATCAATTAAAACTAGTGAGATTGGTGTCAGCGTCTAAGGCATGTCCTTTCTGGTAACAGTCTAAGATGCTTTTGTCAGCATCTCGACTAAAATCTACTCTACACAGGACCGTTTGAAGTAAAAGTGCTACATGTAATATAGAAAATCATCCCTACGACACTAAAGGCTTATGTCCTTACAAGGATCTGTGAAAGTCAAACAATAGGTCACATAATAGACCCATTGGTGTTAGTCACTGGTCTGATCATCCGAGTCGAATAAGAATACTCTCAACCTGGCAGGTAAATTGGCAAGATTTTCGTGTCATTGTAGAATCTATTTTGAAAGTTTTGTTTTTGGAAAATCCCTCCATGTACATATATTGACGTTATGATATGACTGACTCTTTCTGTTGATATTTTGGTACTCTTTTTGATTCCATTTTGAGATTTTATCATTGTATATTGTTATTATTTCTATATCTTGTACTTATATTGAAGTTTTTATGTTTCCTTCTGAACTGTACATATTTTGATATTTAATATGGCTGCAGCCATATTTGGATTTGATACTCTAGCAGCAACGGACTGGAAGCACTTAATCTTCCAACAACGGAACCTATTGTGGCAATTGGAAACTCGGAGGTGTAATATTGTTTTTAGTAATTGTCTGTATTTTCCTTTTTCATTAAAATAGAATCGTTCTCTCCCAGAAT